CACTATGGAATGGGGGATAGAAGGGGCCCGCTATCATCGCAACCCCAACCCCTTTACAGAGGACCACGCCAACAATTCCCTTTATTGACCCCCCTTTCAGAGCCATAGGTATGGGGCATAGCCGGCTAACAAAAGAAGCCAAACGTCCCCCATTCCAAAGGGCTGGACCTGTTCGTCACCATCTATCACATGAATTTGACCGGACTTTTCCTTTAAATGAAAAATCCAGTCAAATTTAATAAATGTAATAAACAACAGTATATTGGACTGCCTCCCTTCAAGTTGTAGTAGTAGTTTCCATTGAAGATGTCAGGACTGAGGTGTTACTATATTTGGGCAAAAATGGCCGCTCCCAGGCTCAGTGATTGTGATGGAAATTATTCTTTTTTCTTTTTTTCCTGATTAGCGTAAATTCATTAAATCACCACAAACGCATTAGTTTCAGGTATAGATTATGATCCATTGGTCGTTCCTTGCTGACCTTTAATAAGTCTGGTGAGGAGGAACTTAACAAACTCCAAAAAATTGAAATCATAGCAAACCATTTTTGTCTTGAAATAAATGTTGTTTTTTTGGTTTTAGCAGGTATATAAAACAGTTTAATAGAATAAAATGATTTAGATTTAAAATAGGAAATACATAACTCTATTATCATATTCTAAATGCATAATATATAACTGTCTTATATTAAAGGTAGAAATACTTTACTCTATTGGGAGACAGAGATGGCAAAAGTACTCACTTTCCGTACTTGAGTAAAAGTACAGATACTTGTGTTAAAAATACTCTGGTAAAAGTGGAAGTACTGATTAACCTTCTTTACTCAAGTGAAAGTAACAAAGTACAGGCTTGTAAATTTACTTAAAGTATAAAAGTAAAAGTAGAAACCACTTTTTTCCTGCCGTTGCCTACATTTTAAATGGATGTCTGCCAATAGGACTAGATCTCCATTGTGTTCATTTTCAATCATCTCGTCGTCCATGCTACTATGCTAACGCCACCGCCACCAAGCTGCAATGATTTGCCGCCAATGAATACCGCCGAATCTGTCGATTCATCTTGTAGTGGTGCGTCAAATGCAACGTAGATTCCCATCCAATTAGATTGAATTTGGTATTGATGACGTGAAAAATTATAAAAACGTAACTCCATTGAAATGATTCAAAACTAAAGTAACGAGACAATTTTTTAAAATGTAAGGAGTAGAAAGTACAGATATTTGTGTAAAAATGTAAGGAGTAGAAGTAAAAAGTCGCCATAAAAATAAGTAGTAAAGTAAAGTAAAAATATCAGAAAAATCTACTTGAGTACAGTAACAAAGTATTTGTACTTTGTTACTTCCCATCTCTGTTGGGAGATCATCTCACTTTTACTTTTTTCAGACAGTGCGGACCGCATACCGAAAAAAGTTCTGAAAATGAGTAAACATTTCTTAAAATAAGTGTATTTACCCTTAATTTGAGTGGGACGATAAAATGATCTGCCAATGGAATGAGCATTATTACCTTTAAAATAATACAATTAGATATTATGTTCTTGAAATAAGAGACTGTAGCTGTTTTTCTTATTTTAAATGTAAATTGTCTTATTATTTCTGCAAAGTGTCTCACTAACTTGTTCAATTCAAGAGAAATTGACTTGACACTGGTGGCGTCAGTTTACGGCACCAGTGTCGTAAACTGACGCCCTTCAGTGAGCCCCACGGCAGCTTTGGCTAAAACATAGTCTGCCACCATCAGTGAATGAATGCGTGAATGACTGAATGTAGTGTAAAGCTCTTTGGTCAAGTCCTCTGATTCAGAAAAGTGCTATATATATAAGAACAGGCCATTTACATTATTTTGCAGTGTAGAGTCCAGCCCTCAGACAGCAGAACTTGGTTCTGATTAACTACATCAGAGACTGGAAGTCCAGCTTTCGTCCAACATTAGTGTCTGACCTTCTCCCAGAGGTCAGCCTGACGTCATATCTCACTCAATGGATTCAGAACAGGATGTTTGGTCTATGAGTTTATGATTGACGATGAGAGTCTTATTTAAAGCCTTGCAGGTCCTAAAAGAACGTTTCTCGTTTTCCCTGTAAAAACAGTGCTGCCTAATATATCTCCGCCTAGATTCTTGAAGAAAGGAGTTTTCTGTTTTTATTAAATTTTTAGAAAGCAGGGCTGCCAGCCTCAGTAATAACAAAGGGACTGGATGAGAGATTTACCTCAGAGGAAGTTCTCAAATATGAAACACATTTGGGAAGTCAGTGTGCAATTAGTAAACGGATCCCCCTTTGAAACTCCATAATGTTCCTCCATAATCGAGCTGCCATCAGTTCTGGGCATGGGGTTGATGACTGGGCCCGGCTCATAAACGAACAGCATCGCAGCACTAATACCGCTGACATCACAGCAGACATGAGTCACAGCTGGTAGGATGAATGCATGCTTCACAGCAGATGGTGAGCAGACATTTCCCAAAAGCTGTGAGAGGTTTGGGCTCCCTTTGGGAGCTCACCGTGATTCCTCCCAGCGGGATGCAGCCTAAAAAAAAAAAAAAACAACCTACAGCTACAGGCTCCACTATCATACATGTAACAACTCCTGTTTTCAGACATAATATGTGAAAATGAGTAAAGTGTGAGTGCTTGCTGCACTGCTGCCTTTGATTGTATGATCACCTGTTTTTAACATCCTCAAACTGTTCTGGATCTCTTGTGAATTTCATCTAGGTAAACCTTTCTGTTGGTTTATGCCGAAAGCTTTCACAGCTCGAGATGTGAAATAAATCACTGTGAACCCAAGGCTTAGAGCTGCCTTTGAGTGGCCGTATATCAGACTCACCTTTCTATCAGACTCAATGGGTTGGTGAAAGAGATTATTCACATTAGTCTCAGAGAAATCTTTCTCTTTTAGAGAAACGTAGAGCAAAGTGGCAACAATGATACTGTGCAGCCATTTTGGACATAATGATGCACCTGGGATGCTGTTTTTTCCCCCAGACAGGAGTATTGACCCATTTTACTTTATAGTTTTAAATAAAAGCATGAGTTTTAAATTATTTCTGGATTACTGACCAACTTTCTGTGCACAGGCACTGGGGAATTTCCTCTCATTTTCCCAGGATTTGACATTAAAACAGAAGAAATAAATAAAAACAGGAGTGGGTTCATGGGAATGATAATCAAAGATTAAGCATTAAGCTCAGCTTGAAAGCTCTGAGACTTCAGCACTAGATGAACTTGATCACTTTCCTCAGAGACAATAAAATCTTATTTATGTTACAAGAACTTAGATAAAGGAGCAGCCATTCAAAATGGCCCTTCCCAGTCAAACACCAGCTTAATGGCAGCCCACTTCCCTGCGACTCCCAGCAAAATTCCCCTTAAACTTCCAGCCCCTGGAGTGACCTCCTCCTGCAAAATTTTCTTTACTCCGACTCCACACTTTCACTGAAAAACAGGGTCTGAGATGGAGATGACGCTTCTCTTTAGATCTTAATGTCCACAAATCATGACAGAAAGAATATTATAGTATAAAGATTGATGTTTAAAAGGGAATTGTAAGGGACCAGCTAAGGGCCCATCAAGGAAAGTGGGGAAATTCTGTACATAAATCTGATAAAGACGGATTGGGAATAAGAGCAATTCGGGTAAAAGGTCTGAAATATGTCAGTGTTTCCTTCATGCCAGGATATAACAGGGAGTGGGGATAGGTGTCCATATTACAAAAAAATAAAAAATAATCTGTGGGTAAAAGGAAGAGGATCTCAGCTACTGAACAATTTCCTCTAAACTTTTGCAGTTTATTTGGCAAAATTATTTTTTTTTTAAGGGTTTATTCTAAATGGTGCCAGATTGGTGATGGAGTTAATGTTTATGTAGAGACTGCTTTTTTATACCTTTAATTTTCTAAGTAAAAACTTTGCAAAGTCATTGCAGGCCTTTTTAGAGTTCATCGACCACAGGGTTTATTAACCTGCCAACTGGCACCAGCTTTATGTTTTAGTTGATAATCTCAAAGAAAGATTATCTTCAATCTGTGATGCTTCTCTTTATAATTTAATAGTGAATCTGGAGTCCATTATTTGGGCTTTTCGACACTCTTCCTTCTCCTTCCTCACTGCTGGAGCATTTCTCCATGGAGATTTCATCTTCCCAGAGAAAACGTTCACTTTAACTGGAGAAATGGAATCAATGATGTCACTAACCTTAGAAATGATCAACCAGCTCATCAACTGAGTTACAGGGTAAAGTGGAAGCAGGATAAACCTACTGATAGCAGCAAAATGTATTATATCATATCATATGTAACATAAACATCTTCTATAAGGAAGTGACTGACTGGGGAGGGAGGTGCTAACCTGCCTTTTTGTCCTCCTGTAAATCTATAAAATGTATTAATTTTATGTAAATCTTTAAGTATTTTTTTAAAACAGCCATAAAACATAAATCACATTTTGCGTTATTGATATAAAAACCAGAACCAACAGGTGGAGATTAGTGACAACTTTTAAATCTTTCTCACCATTGACCTCCCTGAACACTAAAACCTGCCGTCTGGCTGTAATCTGCTTTAAAAAGTGAGATGAATGGTGTTAATCAGTGTATGTGAGCTCTGCGCATCGCTCAGCTGCAGCCTGTCCTGCTGCAATAAAAGCCGCTGCCTGTCAGAGTAATCACTATCATCTGTCTTAGTGCTACCAGTGCAAATGTGACAATAATGGAATATAAAAAAAAAAAAAAAACAACAATATGGCGATTTAAGATGTTTCAGGAAATAAATGATGGTTTTTAGAATGAGAAAGGCTTTTATTCATTTATTTTCTCTGTTTTTTGAATCAACACAAATAAAAGCAAACAGAAAAAAGAATGCCAAGTCTCAAACTTTAAAAAAAAAAAGCCTGATAAGGACGAAATCAGAAGAACAAAGAAAATTACTTGACATTTATACAGTAATAAATGAGCAGTTAAATATAAACCAACAGTAAAGCTCCTTCCCATTCACTCAAGAAACATTTTTTTTTTGCAGACGGCTCGTTTTAAGCCGTTCCTTTCTCCAGCAGCGTCTCCACCATCTTGGGAACAAACTCTTCCAGGAAGTGAAAGAAGTCATGAAAAATTCCCGCCTGGTCGCTGCTCGGCTCCAGCTTCAGCAGCACGCGTGTGTTTTCCGTTCCGCCGGCCATCTGGGGGCAGACTTTAAACTCCAGGGGCTCCTTCAGCTCTGGCTCCCGTTCAGCGATGGAGGCGCTGACCTGGGACTCCAGCTCCATGCAGCTGCCCTCAGGCCTGCAGTCTGTATCTTTCATCAGCTCCCGTCTCACTTTGCGCCTGCCAAGCCACACCGTGTGCTTTTGGACAAACATCCACGGAGGGAATTCAGGCCTCCGCCTTCTTGCCAGTCTGGGCTTTTTGCCGTGAGGCGACACGGAGGAATCGCTGCCAGAGGACAGAGGCCTCTTGGCACCGACGGCGGCTGCCGGCTGAGGGCTGCTGTCGCCTTTAGATTCGACACTCTGGTTGCTGTCGTTAAGCGAAGACGCCGTGGTGTCCATGTCCTCGGCGCCGGTAGCTAAATTCTCACTGAAACCTGCAGCTGCGGAGGGAAGGAGGTGACACCTGAGGACGGCCGTCAGAACAGCCTCCACAGCAGAGCAGACCTTCTGGAACCACAGCAGCCTGGAACCTTCGCCCGCCAGCTGCAGCTCCTTGCCGAGCTTCTCTGGGAGCGATTCTGACTTGAAGGGGATGCTGATGACAAACTGCTCTGGTTTGGCCTGCTGGACCTCCCCAGGCGGGCTGAGCAAGCGCGCCAGTCCCCACGTCTTCCCCTTAGTGCTCTTGCGTTGATAGCGTAGGCTGCGGCAGTACTTCTCGGCCTCCTGGCACTCCTTCTGGAAGCTACGCAGCGAGCGCTCGTTCAGGTTTCCAGCCACATTGTGGGAAAGCTCAAAGGGGTCCAGGAGGTTTAGGGGGCCCAGTTTTGGGCGGTGCTGATCAGGCTTTGCAGCTTTTCCGTCCAGCGTTGTTTCATCGTCTTTCTCTTGTGGAAGGAAGTTATTGACTGGAAGCGGACGACCCTCCCTGAGGGAAATGACGCTGCTGGCAAAATCAAACTGAGCGTAAAAGGAGAAGAAGCCAGCGAGCAGAGAACCTGGGAGGAGAAAACATCAGAACAAGAAGTTAAAAGATGGAGGTGTTCTGGTCAACAGCTTAAAAATATCCTACTTTTAAACCGTAAAATCTTTTATGTTATTAATAAAACTCAAGCATGTTGGAATTTAATGGGAAAGTCAAAGACAAGGACCGGGTTCCCAACAACTTCAGAACCAATTTCCTCAAATTCAAACCATTGTGAGCGTCATCTGATGCTATGATTACATGGACATAGATTCTGACATGATTGGGAAGGTTTATGCTGATTGACAATCCAAACATTAATGCTGAACAGAATCAAAAGGCGTCTTGAAATGGGAAGTTTACCTAAGTGTGCCACAGCAACGGGACACTATTCCACTTTGACTAACTAAACTAGGCATGTAAACAAATCATTTACTTACAATCAAATTAGTTTTTTGTTGGATCAAAATATTTCCATCCGATTAATTAAAATCTTTTCAGTGTTGTAATATTTCCCTGACCACTGGAGGGCGATGCTGTTCATTCTCAAGCAGAGCCTCATTGGTATTAGCAAGAGAAGGAATGCCAGAGCATGGATCCAAAGTCTGGTCCAGATTATTTACTGGGACAAGAAAGAACTCTCTATTGGTCTGTTTGTAAATATAAACTCTTCAGTTCACAGCTAAATGGTTCCTTTGTAGCCGACTGTTTAAAGTCTCTCCCTGCAGAGAGAGCTGGATTAAAACCTCTAACAATCAATTAATTTCAAGTAATCCTCGCCTTTTTGTCCCTTTGCAGTTCACCGATTCACCAGTGAGAAGTTTTAGTGCAAGTGTCACGAACACGTTAGCTTACATGCTAGAATCCAGAGCTGAGCAAACAGACAATAATGACATAAATATAAAACCTTCAGAAAAACATTTAATGACTTTTAAAGATGGGTGTCTTTTAGTTTTTTCCCAGTATTTGAAGGAGGAATCAGAACCCTGCAGGTAAAACATAACTCAAGAAGAAGGAAACCATAGTTCCTGACCCTTTAGCCCCATTTACACTAGTCTCTAAATCCGTGCAGAGCTTGGATCACGCTAGAACAGTTCCTCGCCTCCTAGGGACGGTCTACAGTACTACTGCTCTTTAGAGGTAAACAATCAAGCCAACATGGCGGCGCCCTTAACATTCAGGAATTTTGCGTAGAGTCAGGCGAAGAAAGCAGCCTTCGGTGAATTTACGTGACCGAGACGGCTTTAGGGAAGTGGATACGAAAAACGATAGCCTAATCAGGGCTTAAAGAAGCAGGAAACATCGACAGACGTTGAGGTTCATCACTCTGCTAAGCAGAATCATCACTGGAAATTAGGGATGCTCGATATAATGGGCCCCCTATCGGTATCGGCCTGTATCGGCCTTAAAACTAAATATCGGACATCGGCCACCCCACCGATATTTAACCCGATATTTGATCAGCTTCGGAGTTTCTAAAAAAATAAATAAATAAAAATACTTCTTCTTCTTCCTCAAAAACTTCTTTTTTTACAGACTTAAAAACTTCTAAAGACGAGGGAAAAAATATTGATACATTAAAATATCACAATATCTTCATATGCTGATATATTGCCATTTAAAAACACCATATCAATCTCTTTTACTAATGAAATATTGCTATATGTCATCGTTATGCTACCAAATCCCCCGAAAATCCACGAAATTTTGCCATATTTTTATATGTTGATATATTGACGCGGTATCGATCTATTTTACTAACAAAATCTCACAAGAATTTGCAAAATATCACGAGAGTTTGTAACAGAACGATGAAATTTCACGAGATTTTGAAAGTAAAATAGATCGATACCGCGTTTTTAAAAATCAATTTGATATCAGCATATGAAAATATATTTGAGTATATTATTTTTCAAAGTGTCAGAAATGGATAACAAAACTGCTATTTTCAATGGCTACTTATTTTTGTCCAGCTTTAACATCGGTATCGATATCGGTTATCGGCTACATGAGTTTTAAAATATCGGCATATCGGCCAAAATCCCAATATCGTGCATCCCTACTGGAAATCGCGTGGCACGTTAGGGAAGCCATTATTTTTACGAATGTCTGAATTACGGAGGCTGACTGTAAGGAGATAACGCGGTCTGCTCATGAGCTTTTTTACCCCATTACACTAAAAAACCGATCCATGCCGAGACCGGTCCGAGCTCGGATCAGTTAACCAGGCCGAGATTGGTTCTGACGACCGTTTACACATCACGCTATCCCGGTTCCTCGACTCCTCGCCTCCTAGTGACGATCTGCGGTATTACTGCCAGTATTGAAGGAGGAACTCAAACAGTTGGTGGCGGTAATGCACCAAAAGTTGTTTGCCAACCGCCATAAAACACAAGAAGAAGAAGAAGACGAAGAAGGAGGGAATCAAGCAAATCAAAATGGCAGCGCCCGTCACATTCAGAAAGTTATGCTTAATTATTAATGCTGTACTTCGGTGTTTACGGAGGGTCAGGCGAAGACGGCAACCTTTCGTGGATTTACTTGACAAAGTCGGCTTTCGATTGTTGTTTATAGTTCTTCTTCTGTTTTGTGTTGGTTGGCAAGCAACTTCCAGAGGGGCATTACCGCCAACTACTGGAATGGAGCGTGAATCGCGATGTGCAGCCAGACGGAGATGACCCGTTCTGCTCATGCGCTCTTGTTATCAGAGAAGCGAGCCAGGGAAAAACCGAGCCGAGCCCACCTCTGGAACTGGTCTGCAGTTAGCTCGGTTCGGTTCTAGCTCGGTTCAGTTCAGTTTGCTTTCCATTTACACACCATAAGTTATCTCAGTTACTGAGCTCGGACCGGTTTTAAAGGGCAGTGTAAATGGGGTATTTGTTTTCTGAGAACTGAGCCAGAACTGAACCGCGCCGAGCTCTACTGATGGACTTGTACCAGTTTAGCTCAGTTCGGTTGTGTCCGCCACAGTCCGGCTCAGTTGTGCATACCGTTTACACTCAACAGTCGTCTTGGTTACCGTGCTCGGACGGATCTTGGCACGGTTTCAAAAGCGCACTGTAAATTTGAGTTTTGGTTCGTACTTCATCAGCTTTGAAGGAGTTTGTCTCTGACTGCCGGATACATCTAAGGGCCACAGCGGTTTGTCCACCCTGGGATTAATCACTCAGAATTAGCTGGATTGAATGAAGAGTTTATCAAAATCAGTTTTCATGTTTTAAAAATTATTTGATTTAACAAACAGAACACAAAACGATGCTTTGATTAAATCATTGTTTATGTTTGGGATGGCTAACTTCATGAAAGACTAAGTTGTTTTGGGATTTCCTGCTCGGCTGGTGGTAAAATGCAAAAGGCTTTCTTTTTGCATCCTTCTGCTTAACTGCTTTACATCCTCTCTCTTCCTTAAACTTCTCCTCAGCAATCTGCTGGGTTGCTTGCTCTTCATGATGCCGTTTGCTCTTTAACAAACCTCTGAGGCCTCTAAAGAACAGTTTGACTGATGCAGATTGAATTACACACAGTGGTATAATTGATTAATGCAGTAACACCACTGCAATCAGAGTGAAGGAATACAAAAGGCCTGCCATGTTTTAACAGGGATTCTTCTTCCTAATTACTCACTCTTCACATAAATCACATCCAATTCAAGTCAAACTTGCTTTAAGAATAAAAAACAGTGAATGTTTATGAGGGACATTAAGTTTTGTTTTGTTTTATATGGACTTACAGAGGTCCTGAGTGTTCTTGCTGGCTGGAACGGCAATGGGCTGACTAGGAAAGGTGCAGTTCCAGCCCTCGATCACGCATTCCTCCTCCTCACCTGTTAAAAAAAAAGCACAGCAACTATTAAAGCCAACATTGCTAATATTTTCAGGTTAGACTTGAATTAGTTTCAAACAATCTAAGAAGCTGCTGCTTGTGGAAACGTTCAGCTGAGGCCAGATGGTTTCCATTCCTTACAGATTCTTCCACCTGAGCCGTAGCTCCATGTAGCTCCACCCATCAGTCTCTCCTGGCAGCTGCTGATGAACAATTTCCTCGTGAAACGTGTCAGTTTCCTACCATTAGCATTCTTAGTAATGTAACACTCTTCTCTTGATTAATTAGTAGAATTATTTCTACGGCAGCAAACAATTTACCTGATTGCGCGGTTAAGAGTCTGATCTTGTTGCTTTTTTTATGAATCATGTGTTTTAATGCGTGTCTTTTTTGTTTTGCACCATCCACCTGCCAGGGACCTCAGAGGAAAAATTAGCCTGCAGGGTAGAGTTACCATGTTGACACCATCAGACTAATGTGCTCATGTTTATTAATGCTCCTCCTCTGAAAAGAATAAAAAGATTATTTGCCCCTGTTGTTAGAAAGGCAACACTTACAGGCCATGTCTCTGAGTTGGTCCACAGTGGGGAGGACGGGAGGCTCGCAGTTCTGCAGGTAGAAGATGATCAGCAGCGTCAGAGCGTAGTTGTTGAGGAGGGGGCCGGCGCCGCTGGGGTTACCTGAGGGTCACATGTTGGTGACATGAAGAAGCTGGAATCAGAGAACGACTGGAGACTTTTATTCATCTGATGCATCCTGAATGAGACGATTGTTTAAAAGCTGAAAGACACCCTGGAACTAAACGGTTTATTTAAAGATCGTTTCTAAAGGCCTAAACACACCGGCTGTGTACAACTTTTTTATCTCCAATCCCATTTTTTTCCATGTCACACTGTCAGCGTATAGAGAGGCTCCGACTAGGCAGGGTGGGCAGATCTGCAAAGATTTTTATTCACCTGTGTCTCTGTTCTAAACTTCAATTCAATTCAGTTTATTTCTATAGCGCCAATTCACATCATGTCATCTCAAGACACTTTAAAGTTCAACCAGATCATTCAGTCAGATTGATTCAATGTTTTCTATCTAAGGAAAACCAGTTGATTGCATCGACTTATTGACTCCTCAGCAATCCCTCACACTAAGCATGCTTGTAGCGACAGTGGAGAGGAAAAACTCCCTTTAACAGGAAGAAACCTCCAGCAAAACCAGGCTCAGTGTGAGCGGCCATCTGCCGCAACGCAAATTAAAACAAATTCCCACATTTGACATGGACAGATTATGAAAAGTTATTTAAAAAAAATAAAAACCACAGGCGCTTTTTATAAAGCAAACCTCTATTAAACGAGTCTGTGCCGCCATCCAAACCAGAACAGATAGAGAATGTTCATATATTAAAAACACAATGAGATCTACGTCTACAGAAGAGAAAAACAGCAATAATGAGCAATGAGACGGTTTCTATGCCGACTGAGGCAGAGAGGTGATTATCAGGGAGAGATCTGGAGAGAGATCTTATTTTGTTCATAAAAAGACCCCTGTTTTTTTTTTTTTTTTGTGAGGCTCAAAGAGGATGACTACTTTGAATGAACGAATGAATGAATAGGAATTTTGAATAGAAATGAACTGTTTTCTGTTCTCCTGAACTCCTATCATGGATGAAGCATTATATTTTAATGTTTCATTCATAGTTTTTGCACCAGTCTGTCATGCTTACTATATACGCAATGTGAGACTCCAAAACTGCCTCTTTCCCCATTCGATTAACAGATTCTATTTAGTATTTTCCCCCAAAGCGGGTGCGTTTTACTTTGTTACCGCGTCTCTCTTCCTGTCAGACTCATGAAATGGCAGCTGAATATCTGCGTAGTCCAATAAAGTAGACCTGGGGTCTATCGCAGTGGGACCTATGCGGCCCCCTTGCGTAAAATCGTGTCTGTGTTTTAATTCCTCCATTGATTTCAAAGAGAGCTAAACACCTCGACCAGGTCCGACGATTTTCTGTCGGATCAGAAGCAAAATCGGATTCTGTGTGTTCTGGCCTTAATGGTTCGATGGCTTTAATCTAATGTGGTTAAATTAAAGGGAAACAAGGTTCAGATATTAATACACCCCATGTAACATTTGGATTTTATTTTCTCATTTGTAACCATTATCAACAAACACTCAAACATGGAAAAATATTTATAGGACAGAGGACAGCTACGGCCTCCGTTATCTTAGGAACCAATTAATCCAGCGATTATTTTCCTTTAATCACATTTAATCACAGTATTAAAATGACTAAGCTTTTTAAATGACTAAAATAATTTAAAAAACAAAAGCAAAAAATAATAGTTTCAATTCCACCTCTGTTCTAAAGAGAGAATATTCTTTTTAGATGTTTTAGTTCTAGAGACGGCAGGTAGAATATCAGAGGCAGCAGGTTGCCGTGGTGATAGCCCCCTCAGTGACGTGGCTGCATGTTTATTCACATGTAAAGCAGGAAACTGCATTTCTGATCGTTTTGGATTGATTTGAATTATCATTCAATTATAACCTGAGCAGGTTAAGCACATGTCTGAACAGGTTCTCTGTCGTATCGGAACATAAAATGTTTCTCTTAAAAGACATTATTCGTTCTGGACAACTGGCTTCCATCGCGTCTGTTTAAAGTCACACTCTAAGTAAGAGAAAACTGTTTAAAAAACAAAGCTCTAAAAGTTCAGGTAGGGGGTCAAATATGAAGCTGGAAACATTTTTGATCAAGCCTGTTTTTATAACTATAGTCAGAGAATGACGAAATAACCACCACTACAACCTGACGATGCATCTGAGTTTTAATTGTCGAGATGAAAATGTTGATCTTAATCTAAATCACTGACATTTTTGCCTATTATTTAATATGTGACCTTTCAGTCCAAAGCTGAAGGATCAACAATGCTGGGCGCCATCCTGTGCTCATCTGGCTCCGCCCTCCACCACCTGACAGCAGCTGTCGGTCAGACATGAACCCATTGATACTCTTTCAAAATGATTCCCCTAAAAGACTATTGCAGAAACTGATGTGAGTTTATGAGGAACATTTTTGGAAATCCATCAGCCATGGAAACAAGTTCAATAATCTTAAAAGCTGATGTGTTAAAACACATAAGAAATACTTTCACCTCTATATAAAAAAAGTTTTCCCCAGAAATCATACCTACATTTAATTTTTTCATATGAAACAGTTGACATTTACAGGAGATGTAATTTGTAGAGATAATTAATCCAAAAGATTGAAACTAGACCCAAAACTTTCATTTTTCAAAAACTAATGAGCGACTAAAACCAAAAGAAATGCAAAACAACATGAGATGAGTTTCCAGTGACTGGAACGATTGACTAACATCATAACCCCATGCAGGGGTGCGTTCAGGAGCGCTGCAATGCAAAAGATGCATTTCTAGCAACGATACAGGAGCGATTGTGGCAACGCAGCCCCATGGTGGATGCCCAGCGCGGGTCGCTGGAGTTCTGAAATCAGACCTCGGTCTGGGAGTAGATGCCCCCCCCCCCCCCCCCCCCCCCCTCCAGGGTACACCATATTGGATCAGTGCATTTGCGGCTTACGTTCAGAAAGGTTCAAACAGACAGCAGCAAACCATTTGAAAACAGACGAAGCAAAGAGAAGTGTTGTCAACTTAGCGCTTTAGTCGCTATATTTAGCCACTTTTCAGACCCTTATAGCACTTTGATTTCTAAAAAGCTCCTAGCGCCAAATCTAGAGACTTTTTTCTGCTACTGGAGATTTTGGAGACAACATCTAAGAGCAGCGAACTCTGCTCTCCAGTGCAAGTAGATTGGTAACCCCGCCTCCTGCTCTCCTCTATCTTGTCTGCTGTCATGATTCATGCAGCTATTATTTCATCCAAATGAAAAATGGAGAACAGAGAAGCAGATCATGGCTTGTCTACAGTGAAAAGAAGGACTGGGTTATTTACTTTGGCCTTTTTGGAAACACAGGAAGGAGCAATCAGCTAAGTGAGCTTAGTGCTTGGAAAAAATCTTTCATTCCTTTAGAGACAGCATGAAAAGTCAGCTGAGTACAAAACATAGAGAGGAAAAGAAGAAGAAAAGGGACAAGAAGAGAGGGACACAACCTAGAACAGATAATGGATGTCTATTCTATTTCCAAAAAAGAAAATTAAAAGAATCCATTGGACTTTGTTTCCAAGTTTGAAGACTTTTCGCTTCCAATCCAAGAAGCTTTTTCAATTCAAAATGACCTGGATGATTGAGAATTTTCACCAGCGTATATTCTATTAAAGATTCTGTATCTGTATAATGGGTCTGTTTTATGTGTTTTCTTCTCATTTCAGTTGGCCCCCCAAATGAATGTGGCGACTCTGTCGCTGGCATCAAGTTCGATGTGAACGCACCTTTACCAGAGTAACTTATTGCATAGATCCGTTTTACATTTATTAAAGTATAAATATGTTGGAGTTGTGCTTCTCTTCGCACATTTGCATAAAACCAAATACTAACGTGTGTTTATATTTCAGCCTGTATGCTTATTTAGTCCATTTGTTGGTAAGAGAATTAGTTCTAAGATGTTCACAATAAATCCTGCTACACCTAAATATTAATGGATAGCATTAATTCATAATGAATGTTTCACTATTTGACATAAAAATACTATTAAAATAATCCAAACCTTAATATGTAAATAAGATTCAGCGTCTGATGAATCCATTCGAACTTTGACAGAAGCAGTAGCTCTGAAATCTACCGTCACTGAAGTTATCTGATGTCAAAAACAGCACAATCACAGTGACACATAAAGGACTTCTACAATCGGTTTTGATGTTAGAAAACTTCATTGTGACACATGATAATTTCCTATGATTGTTTTTTTTTTGTAAATTGCCATGGCTGATCAAAGCGATTGCTTTTAGATCCTCATTTTGGGTCAAGGCGTGTCATCCCGCGCTCCTGACTCGGCCCTGATGAAAGCGGCGCGCTGAAGCGCAGTTCAAAGGGAACAGAGTGAAGGTAATTAGTCTGCTCTTCAGTGAAGAATACCTTTATTAAGATTTCATTCAAGATTACTGAATGTACACACAAAGAGATGTAATTTGGATATATTCACTCTTAACTAAGGCTTGAATAAAAAGATAAAGTAAATTATTAACAAATGAAGAGAAAGATCTGCGATTTTAGAGGAAGTGTTTGGAAAAGGAAGGTGTGTTTCTACCGACACCTGCTGGTTAAAAGATAAAATAACACCCTAAATGTCCAAAATGTAAATGTTAGTGAAAATTTCTGGATCTTACCAGCTAACTGCTTCTGTTTGGCCCAGTAGCGGATGGTGAACACCAGAGGCCTCAGCCGCTCCTCCACACCTGACAAGAGCTGGAGGAAGCGGGTGTTCCTCACGCCAAGTCTAATGGGCAAAGGAGGAGGGAAGAAAGCTGGAATATAAAGAACATCGAGTGGTTTCAGTTTAAAAAATGAAATCTCTCACACACCTGTTGTTGAGAGTGATATCGCCCTGCAGGTTCAGCTCGCGGTGATGGTACTTCACCACAGGGAGGCGAGCGCTGCTGACCACATGAACTTTGTGAACGCTGGGGACACAGCGTTTCAAAATGGTCGCCACTAGCTCCAAAACCTCAGCCGAAGATGCGGAGGACAGGTCGATGTCGGACAGGATGGAGTCCTCAGAGCGCCCGTCGTCCGACATTCCTTCCCCTGCCTGGAGGGAGGAACTGTTATCTTTTAGCTCACAGAGAAAAAGAAAATGGAAAGGAAGTTGTGAGACCTGCTCTGTGGCGGTCTTGGCCCTTGCTTGGAACTTCTTGGTGTTTTCCAGGTCCAGGAAGAGGTCCAAATCGCAGGAGTGAACGCCGAAAGTGTTTACAGACGAACCAAAGAGCAAAATCTGACTGTCTGCAAACCATAGAAATGTTAAAAAGACCAACAGGAAAGTGACCTAATGCTGATGTCAGGATGTTTATTCAGCAGGAACATGTGATGTCTAGTATTCAAAGAGGGGTCACCTGGAAAGAACTCCACAAAGACCTCCTGCAGGAGTTGAACCACCAGGCCTCGGGCCTTCTTCTCATTTTCTCCCAGCTGAAATCGTTCAACCATGAACTTCATCTGGGCATCCACCTTGATGGACACAAAGGTACGTTCACAACCATCAATAACACAAGCTTGGTTTAACATGCTGTGTAAAAACAGCTTCTAGATTCCATATAGAAACAAAGGAACTAGATGTGGAAATCATGCAGAAACAAATGAAAAGTGAAAAACCCTCAGCTTTTATAAATCTGATCACATTACAACACAAATGTCAGTTTTCTTTATTAAGAATAGATCATCTTTCTCCCCACTGTCTCTGCGTGCTCAGTGCGAGGGATTGCTGGCAGGTCAAAGACAAATCACAAACGTGTGTCTGCCGTCTCTACATGCTGATCCCGGAGTGGATCCTGTAAAGTCAATGATTGGATGGTTTAAACCAATTTGACTGGATGATTATAAAATGTCTTTTGTTTACATGTTGTGAACTAGAGCTATGAAAATAAACTGGATTAAATTTAAACAAAATATTACAGTCTAAAGACTGTGTGTGATGTAGTTCTTCTTACCATTGCTGGTATTTGTCCATTACCATTGTTGGCATGTCTCTCTATTATTGTTGATATTGTGTAAACTAGTAATATTTTATTTGATTTTTTTAAATCTATCATTGCTGGAATGCTAGAAAACAAAAAGATACTATGTAATTAATTAACTGCTCGGGTAACACCATGGTGATTTTGCTTATCTGTTCTTAGTGACGAAAACATTATATATATATTTTTTAAACTGCTTTTGCTTCTATTATTTTGTGTTCTAAGTTGCCGATAAGGAAAAAAAAAAAGAGAAAAAAAGTAGCTGGAAATATAAATATGCTTATCTCCTTTTCAGGCCTGTTTTTTATTTTATTAATATATATAATATAACATGTATTATTAATTATGATTTTTAATTTCTTTTATGACATAAAATGTTTATTTAAAATTTTATTGTAATGATTTTTTTCCAGGCCTATTTCATCAGTTTATTTAATAAATCATTCTGTTGAAGTATTGTTTAAAAACAATGTCTGCCTTTCATTTGTTCATTTTCATAGAACTTTAATCTATTATTTAGCGCGGCAACTAACAATTATTTTGCTAAGTAATCTGTAGATAATTTTTTTCGATGAATTGATTAATAACCAGTTTATCAAAATGTTCCTTAAAGTAGATTTTTTACAGAATTAAACCAGTTGAAAATAAACGTTTCCACGTGAGAAGTTCTGGATAGAAACTACTGACCGAAGAAAAAGTGTTTTTATCCTAAACGCAAACTATTTACATATCGTTTTTTTTTTTTTTACAATTTTGTTAAAATTGCTGCTCTAAGTGGGTTGCTCTGTCAGCTAAAGGCCCGTTTTACAGTCTCTATACTGTTAACGATTAATCAATTGCTAAATTAGTTGACAATTATTTCAATAATCAATCGCAATTAATCCAATTAAAAGTTTAAGCCCGACTACTATTACTTTTGGCTGATTTACGTTATTTCTGTGACCATTGTGTTTTTTTCCTTTAATTAGATGAAGGGAACCAATTATTTTGTCCATGTCTTTTTTGTATCTGTGCTTCCAAATCAGAATCAAATAGCTGAATTATGAATGAATTGAATGCAGTTCAGTTCTGCTAACGACATGATTTTTGGACTTTGAGGCAGAGACACTTCTAACCCCCAGATCTCACATCCTCTGTCACCACTCCGCTCTGCCCCGGAGCTCTTGTGCAGTCATGTTAATCAATGAGAACTTTTCCACATCCACCGCTAATCCTCCGCACGTTAACCTCCACATACATCTTCTTCGTCCTTCAAGGTCAAAATACGGAGTCGAGCTATATTTTGTTCCGATCTGGTCCGCTGGAAGCAGGACAGGTCAAGATCCGCAATTGCGATCATACCAAACAGGAAAATAAACATCGAGAAAATCCGTTTTTTTAAAGTGAAATATAGCTAAGACAGAACGGTAACTACAAATTGGAACCTAATTCTTATGCTCTAATTTCAACATACCCCAAATCAGATTTCTCATCTCTTTAAATATTAATTTTAGAGGCTTCAAAGCTTCATAAAATCCAGTCATAACAACTTCCAAGAGCGCATCTCACAACTTAAAAACAGACTTTTTATTGCAGGCATGGATAAAGAAATGCTGAGTTTGGAAGCAGAGAATATTTTTCATTATCCCTATTACAAAGTCCCACAAGGAAAAGAAAATATTTGAGCAAAAATATTTGTGACTGATGCTGACGGTAAGTTTTAATTATGTTATATTGAACTAAGTGTTCATAAAAGCATGTTTTTCTCCTATGAATTAAATAATATAGCGCATGATCTCCTCAAGCTTCAAGCAAGGCGGAGCGGAGTAAAGCCGGAAAAACGCTTTACAGTCGTTGCACACAGCTACAGCTCAAACTGTACAAACGAAACCGCAGCGTTTAAAAGTTTGTTCTCACACTGTGTGGCCCGACACTCTATTGCGATCTTACGACGGCCGACTGAATTTCAAACATGTTTGATTTTCCTCTGACCTTACGGTTCCTGATCGGGACGTGGTCGAGAGCAGCTGATCACCCTTTGTTAGCACCTGTACACTACATGACCCACGATCAGGCTGAAAGTCGGCCCGATCGAGAATTTCTCGTGTATGCCGCGGCTTAAGACGGGGGGAATAGTAGGCTTTGCTTTAGCAGGCGGCCTGGAAAGGAGGATACGGTGGATGGGGTATTTCAGGGTAAGAGGTGCAGAACCTCAGGATCCAGGATCAGAATGTAGGACCCCCGGTCTCTGGGTTGGTGACCCCAGCAGCAAACATGGGGTCAGGAGATCTACTAAAGAAAATAAACTTAAAAATTATGAAGCGTATCTATGTGGTTACGGTTATCAAAACATCACATATTCAAATAAAATGGCTGTTGATGCGGTTTTTCTTGCTGCAGCGTCCATGGTTAATAGTTTTTGAAGAGTATTCCAACCAATAGTTTGGGTCATGACCCCATTCTGGCAGAACATGCCCATAAAAAGACCCATAGAACTCGATAGGAGCTGCAGAGATCTCTGGCTCTGTTGGGATCATCTGCTCACATATATCTATGTGATCAATCTTTTATCTGATTTCTGAAGTCTAATATATAGATATATATGTTAGACTCGACATATCAGATAAAAGATTGGCAAGAAAACTGCTAGAAGTAAAAGAGAAGTCGGTCATCAATAATAACTTTGTTAAATTATGACTGCAGTGAAAACAGGAGAACTCGTCTGGTTTTACCGACGGCAGCTGGCACAGCTCAGGCTTGAGACGATCGAAAATCTGTTGGAGGTTCTGAGGATCATTTTTCTTCTTGGGAATCAGTTTAAACTCTTTCTTCTCCCGTGGTTTAACCTTCAGCTTCAAACCTTTCAGCTGGTGCTCGACACAGGACAGAGCCGCCTGGATGCTCTCCGTCTCATTGAACTGGACGATGGCGTAAACCCCCTGGGAGCACACAGGAACATCTCAGCTTTTCATCAGTTAATCTGCTAAAAAAGCTGCACGCTGCAACCGTGGACTAACACCATGTTTGAACTGACCTTGTCTTTATCTACGATGACATCAGAGACGGCCCCGAACTGCTGGAAGTACTCCGTCAAATCAGTCTGAGAGATTTCTGGTTTGATGCCACTAACGAACACACTGCACTCCTCGTGGCTCTTCCTGGTGGAGCGGACTGAGCTCAGAGTCTGATGCTTTCGCCCCTTCACATGCTGATCGACACTTGGCACTGGGAACCAATAAAGTAATGATCCGACAGAATCATTAGAGGCAGTGCATTAAATAAACAATATCAAATAAGTTACTATAAAGTAAGGTTAAAAGATAGATTAGAGCGTTGTTTTTTGCTTCAACCTAAACCACCTCAGCGGGCTTCAAATTTGAACTTTTAACCTTACAGTCTAAAGTTTGCTTTTTACTTTAGAATCAAACCCCTGATTAATTCAGTTCAATTCAGTTTATTGCTATAGCACCATTTCACAACACTTTACAGTTCACCAGATCATCCAGTCAAATTGATTCAAAGTTGTCCGAAAAAAAAAAAAAAATTAAAAACAATCAACTGGACTTTTCCAGTGTAGTCCTGTTTCTCTGACTGTGACTAACTGGATGTGCTCTCTTCATCCTCTGGCATGGGAGCTGGCTCGGAGCTCGTCTGCCTGGCTGCGTTTCCTGGATGGGGCCGCCTTTTACAGCTGCTTTTTCTATCTCTGCTTCCGTCTCCTTGAACCCCAGTCGGCCTCAGCAGATGGGCCTGAGCCTGAGCCTCACACTGAGCCTGGTTCTGCTCGAGGTTTCTTCCTGTTCAAAGGGAGTTTTTCGGCGTGCAGGTGGCACAGTGGTTAGCGTACACAACCCATGTACGGAGGCCTTAGTCCTCGACGCTGGCGACCCAGGTTTGAATCTAGCCTGTGATTGTTTCCTGCACGTCTCTCCCCTCCCCCATACCCCCTTTCCTGACAGCCTACTGTGAAAAAAAAGTAGCCACTGGTGCCTTAAAAATTTAAAAAAGAACAAAAAAGGAGAGTTTTTCCTCTCCACTGTCGCTACAAGCATGCTTAGTGTGAGGGATTGCCTTTGCAGTCAATGAGTTCCTTAGATAGAAAACTTTGAATCAATCTGACTGAATGATCTGGTTGAACTGTAAAGTGCCTTGAGATGACATGTGTTGTGACTTGGCGCTATAGAAATAGACTGAATAGAATTTAATTTCTGTCTATAAAGTAATAAGATTTATAGGGGAGGATTTAGCATTAGGCAATACTAGGCTGTTGCCTAGGGCCCCAAGTTCCTGAGGGACCCATAAAACTCTTTTTACATGTGTGGTTAAGACAACTATTCCTTATTTGTGCTCATTAATTATGTTTTTGATTAAAATCCTTTTGCTAAAATGCCATCAGAGAACTGATAATATTAAGTGTGTTTGTGTCCCAGCCGCCCATTTGCTGCACATGTTCAGAAAGGTCCAAACAGACAGCAGCAAACCATTTTAAAACAGAGCAGAGTTGCCAAATTAGCGCTTTTGTCGCTATATTTAGTGAATTTAGTGACACCGCTGCTGGTTTTATTTCAAAAAGCGGCAAGTGCCAAATCTTTTTTCTGCTACTGGAGACTTTGGAGACAACATCTAAAAGCAACGAACTAGATTGGTAACCCTGCCTCCTGCTCTCCTCTATCTTGTCTGCTGTCATGATTCATGCAGCTATTATTTCATCCAAATGAAAAATGGAGAACAGAGAAGCAGATCATGGCTTGTCTACAGTGAAAAGAAGGACTGGGTTATTTACTTTGGCCTTTTTGGAAACACAGGAAGGAGCAATCAGCTAAGTGAGCTTAGTGCTTGGAAAAAATCTTTCATTCCTTTAGAGACAGCATGAAAAGTCAGCTGAGTACAAAACATAGAGGAAAACAACAAGAAAAGGGACAAGAAGAGAGGGACAAAAAACGTGGAACTAATAATGGATGTCTGTTCTATTTGCAGCTTTGTTTATGAACCCAACTTTTTTGGGTTGTGGGTTTTTTGAGTGGAACTTTTTTCCTTCCACTCAACTTTCCACTAATAAGTATCCAACTCGACCTTAGCTGAATATTTAGAAAATATGATCCTTCATTCTGTTGACGTCATTGTTATATGCTGTGCATCAGGCGGATTTTCTGTAATTCTCTTAATAGTGTGGACCTTAACATTACATGCAGTACTCAAAATTTCAGAGAGAATAAATGTTTAAAATGTGTGTAGGCATAGTAAAATATAAACTAATATGAAGCTTTGAGATACATAATACAATTTATTTGTAATGCACTTTACATTTAAGAAAAAAATCTCAAAGTGCTACGGGTAAACATTTGGAAGAGGCACTATTAAGTAATAAATCTGACCAATAAGTAGCTTCGACCTGAAACTTGGAAAATGACTTTGATCCGTTAATGTAGGTAAAGAATGGAAACATTTATCGACATAATCTCGTCTTTTTCAATAATAAAACCATTTCCAACAGGACTCTAGAGCTTCCGCGGAAATCTGGAGCCAAGAGGCGCGTGCATGAGTTAGCTAACCTTACTTACAGTTCGGTAAATTGACGTTACACAGTTTGCAGCTAAACCCTCTGCTCGTCGTTTGTATATCGCTGTCTGGAGATACGGCGCTCATTTTTGTAAATTGGTGGAAAATGAGTTTTGTTTGAGGATAACTACCCTCACTGCGCCTCTCAAATCTCCCTCCAACCTGAGGTCGCCGCTAGTCCCCAGTCCGTCTCCAAAACAGGCTCGGGTTGTACAAGTTTTTTTCAAAAAGGTTCCCGCTACGCAAAAATGCTTAAACAGACCGGTGTTCTAGCAGCAAGGCTCATTAACTATCATTAGGAACACGATTTTAATCAACCTGATTTATCTGAAATATGCAAACAGTGTGGCATATTTCTATCATCATGGCGGTGTTCTGTCGGACAAGCGTACCCAGTAAAAACCAGTTTAAACTACCTCAACGGGCGTGTATCCCTCTAGTCACGTACAAAAGAACTGCTTACTTTTGGGTGTTTTTTGAAAGTTCTTTTTTTTCGTACAAAACCAGAGATAAACGCAAATCTGACGTCTTGCGCATGCTGATCTGACAGAACAGCGGCACCTGGCGGCAGCGACCTGGAACAGCTTTTTACATGCCATTCAGAATGCTACACACCTAAACAGCTTCCTCCCCACTGCCACCAGACATCTCAACTGTTACATTTTTTTTTTTAAATCATGTGTCTCTATATCACACCGATAACACCAAATCAAAAATACTGCAAAATTGCACAATGTATTTAATTTTTTCCCAATGTTTACATTTAATCACTGCTGCACTTTTAATGGAAATGACATCAGAGCTGTACAAAAGGACATTGGTTTTGTGTACACTGTATACAAACGTTCTCAAATCCATATCTAGCAAGGATAATTCAGATTGTTGCTTATGTTTTTGATGTTTAAATTTAATGTTTTGAAAATTATCTGTGCTCAAAATCAAAACAGAACCTAATTGAGAAATGTTATCTGTGCAAATAATCAGCCTGCTTAATAGTCTCTTTATTAGAAGTAAACAGGTTATATGCTAAAGGTGCTGAAAAGCACCAAAAATCAAATCAACGGTGAAGAAAATTGATTAATCAAAACCAATTATTACGTTTTTACTGCCCCATAAAATTGTTTTTAATCAAATCTATATGTCTCTAATGCATCTGGGAAACCATTTATTTGTATATTCAAAGTAATACCATTAAAAGGTGTATTAAAAAAAAAAAAAACGAAAAAACAACAATTACACAAGCCAAAGAATTTTATAAAAAATTTTTCCCCTGCCAACATGTTTGTATAAGCATAAGTGTACGATACAGAAAATTAAAAATAAAAAATTCTTTAAACATCGAGGTAAAAAAAACCCAACAGTGCTTTGTTTAAGTATGCCACTGGATCTAAAATACAGAACAATAAAAGATTAGAGGAACCCAATTAGAATTTGATATTTACATTAAGCATCTATTTCTTTGCTGATCTCCCCCGTCTGGTTTTTGGCGGCGCTCCCTCAGCAACCTTCGCTCCTCGCCGCGCTCTCTTGGCCGGCTGTGCCTTGAGGTCATCTGAGAGATTCTCCTCTTCAGTGTTGTTGGCCTCCTTTGCTCCATCGTTGCTGCTAGCATCCGCCTGGTCTGTTGATTTTGACCTCCTGCCCCGAACCGACTTCACTGGTGTAACTTTTTGAATTTCACAAACTTCCATCTCTGAATTGAACCGGACTGATTTTTTGGTCGTCTTTGGGTCGACGTCTTTAGCCTTTACGTTTTCGGACGGCTCACCATTGGTCTCCACTGCCTTTTTGTCGTCTTTGGGCTTTGTCGCAGCTCGTCTCCCTCTTTTTACTGGCAAGACTGGTTCTGGAGCAGGTTCTGATGCCTGTGATGAGGATTCTTCAGCGGGTTCCTCTGGAGGCAGGGCGGCTCCCCGACGGCCCCTCTCAGCAGGGACAGTTTCTGAAAACTCGTTTTTACGCCCTCTTGCCCTGCCGCACTGTGGAGATGGAGCAGAAGCTTCTGGAAGAGGATTGTCAGCAGGGATGATTTCCTGAGTTGTTTCTGCTGCTTTTCTGCCCCGCTTTGGCTTTTCGCTAACATCACTGTGGGGCTCTGTGGACTTCACAGGGGTTTCAGTGACAGGATCTGGTTTTGTTTTTCGCCCTCCTCTTCGTTTACTCGCTGAATCGGCTTTAGGAGTTTGTTCTTGCTCGGGATTTCTTGTTCTCTGTGATTTTTTCGGCGGCTCCTGGAAGTCAGAGGTCTCCTCTGGAGTCACCTTCTCATTAGGACTTTCTGCCTCCTCTTCCTGCACAGCATTTCTTGCCCTTTTAGCCCTCAGAGGCAGAGTCTGGCGCTTGTTCTCCACAGGGAGCGCAGTATCGTCTTCCACCTCAGTTGGATCGTCAGCTTTATTTTTTCTTCCAATCCTCGTTTTACCAACAGAAGAAACGGTTTGCGAAGTTTCAGAATCCGCTGCAGGACATGCATCTCTCACCGACTCGCTGGGCGTCACTTTAGTTTTTCTCCCTCTGAGCGGCTTGGTGGTCGTTTCCTGTGCAGGAGTTACTTCCTCTTTTGAAGTCTCATTGGAGTTCTCCGAGGTCAGGTCAGCGACGGCTTCAGTGGAATTCTCAGCTGGCTGATCAGCATCTTGAGGCTTTGCATTTCTGGTTCTTGTGGATTGTTTAACAGCAGGGGGCGCTGTTGCTTCCACTTTCCTTCCTCTTCTTCCTCTGACTGGAGCGACCACAGGCTCATCTGAATGCTCCTCTGGTTCTGGCGCTTTCTCAGCATCAGCCGGTTTAGATCTCGTGCCTCTGACGGGTTTCTTCACACCAGCTTTGGGATCTTCCTTCTCCTGATCCGGTGCAGAAGTTACTTCCACTTTCCTTCCTCTTCTTCCTCTGAGAGGAGCGACCACAGGTTCGTCTGAATGCCCTGTGGGTTCTGGTGCGCTCTCAGCATCCATCGGTTTAGCTCTTCTGCCTCTGACAGGTTTCTTCACACCAGCTTCGGGATCTTCCTTCTCCTGATCCGGTAGCTTCAGAGTTTCAGGCAACTGGATGACCGTTTCCACGGCAATGTTTTCACTCTCATCTGCTTCTGGAAACAAAAACAAAGTTTGGTTTAGAGAGACCATCACACCACGACTAACCGAACAGGTAGAGAAGGTTAAAACAGAAAGTAAATGACTTGAAACAGGACCCACTTTCAGGAAGGTTCTGCTGCAGCGGTGCTGCTTCTTCTTCAGGTTCTTTAACTCTTCTCCCACGTTTTGGCTTCAGCACAGGCTCCTCCACAGGCGCTTTGCTGTCGACATCAGTTGCTGGGTTTGGATCAATCATGGGTTCCTCCTCAAACGCGTTCTGTTCCAGTTCGGCGGACACCTCTTGAGTTTTTCGGACATTTCTCCCTCTTCTTGGCTTAGCAGCAACCTTGGCAGGCTCTGGGCAGCTCTCCTCCACACTGGTTTGGCTGCCTTCAGCATTCCTGCCTCTTGTGGTGTGTCTAACAGCAGGTGGCGCTGCAGCCTCAGCTTTCTTTCCTCTTCTTCCTCTAGCTGGAACAGACACAGTGATGGCATCTTGAGAAGGTTCTGTTACCTCTTTGATTTCCTCCACTGGTTTTGTCCTTCTGGAGCGAGCAGATTTCTTCTCTGAGGCGCAGGTGGAAGTCGTAAAACTCTCGGTGACGCTGACAGCAGAAGGCTCCACCCCAGGCTGCTGTGGGATACTTCCTGCATCACCCTCAGGGCGTGTTTCCACAGCACCTGATGCCTGAACGAATGGAAAAGAAAGTGATCATTTAAGCTCAATTTACAAAATGTTTGATTTGAGCATTTTTCTTAATCACCTCAGTTTTTACCTCAGTTGTCTGCTGCTCTGTCAGGTCCACCGCCGGCTCTTCCATGAGCTCCTGAAGCCCCTCAAAGTCTTCCACCGGAGGATTTCCTCTTGCTCTTGGTGATTTCATCAGCCTTTTGAGGCCAAAGTTGTCTTCAACAGGTTTACCTTTCTGTTTGGGAGTCCTCTTGACTCTCTTCACTTCAACCACATCTTCAAGTGGAGCACTCTTCCCTTCAGGCAGCTTTATCATACTCTCCACGGCGATAAGACCCAGCATCTGGGGCTGCTGGGTCGGCGTCTGGAGAAGCTCCTTAACACCTTCTAAGCTGATCTCACCCGACCTTCTTGCTCTTGGTGTCTTCAGGAGTTTTCCTCTCAAGTCTTCTATAGGTTCTGCTTTTTGTTTTGGAGTCTTGAAGATTCGTTTGACCCCAGTTAGACACTCCTGCTGCTCTGCTTTCTGTTTAGGAGTTACCAGAAGTTTTCCTCTGATGTCCTCTAAAGGTTCAGCTTTCTGTTTGGGAGTCTTCATGACCCTCTTGACTCCAGTAAGACACTCCTGTTGCTCAGGCTTCTGTTTGGGAGTTTTTAGGAGTTTTCCTCTCAGATCCTCAATGGGCTCAGCCTTCAATTTGGGCGTCTTCGTGGTCCTCTTGATTCCAGAGAGGCGCTCTGGTAATTCTGGGTTTTGTTGGGGAGTTTTAACAGATGGCGGTTCAGACTCTGAGCTAAATTCCAAGGCAGGGGTGTTGCTAACAAAACTGGATTCTTGATCTGCAGCAAGAAGGCGCTCGACTGCCTCGCTGTTGTATCTTAAACTCTTGACTGTAGACGCTACGCTCAGCGGAGACACCATCATCTCATCTGTAAGGCAGTTATGTTTATATATTTTAATGTCTCTTGTCATAAACACTGCAGCTTGTTTTTCCACATGAAATGACTGGAATTGAATTCCACTTGAACACATTACCTGGTTCCTCCGGGGTTTTTAACACAGACGGTTCCATCATAGAAGATCTTGCTGGGGTCCTCTTGGCACTCCTGTTACTGACCAAAGACCTTCTTCTCCTCTCATTTATTGGCGTTTTGAACATCTCAGGAAGCCCTGAGATTCAAAGAATTAAACATGCATCTAAAAAACTGCAATCCAGAATCACATAGATCGTGCTCTTTTTTTGCAGCAGGGAAAGCTTCAACTACCTGTCAGGTCTTCGTCCATTTTCATGTCCCGCTTGGAAAACGCAGCATTCATGACCACTTTTGGTGCAGCTCCAGTTGGAGGAGCAAAGGCTCTTTGGTGAGCTCTACCTACGACGATGGTGGCAGGGGATTCTGCATGGCCAGTGCTTGCGTGTCCTTTCAGTTTTCTGGCAGGTGTCTAAGATTGCAAGAAAAACACACAAAAAAAAACTTTAGCCATTCTGTGTTGCGAGGAAACTCCCACTTCAGGGTTTTTATAGTTGTTCTCGTTCGCATGTAAATGGCTGGATGGGGAGTGAGGCGCTTCAGAGTCATTAAACCTGATAAAGCGCAACATAATAACAGCCCATTAATAATTAATATATGAAACAGATTCAATCAACAGAAGAGCTAACCTGCAGTTTGGACATCACTTTCTTCATTGGTTTTTGTTTGATCTTCTTCTCAGTTGGAGCAACAACCGAAGTCTTGGTTTGTCCAAATTTAACAACATTTGCCCAGGAACTTGGAACCACTATGAAATCGAAAAAAAGGGAACAAATGTGAACATTTAGTTCAAACTGTCACAGCAGACAAAATATGCTTCTTTGATATCAGTTTGTACAAAAAAGGATATTTTTTTTTTTATATAAACATAAAGTACTTCAGCATTGACCTCACCTTTTATCGATGCACGGGAAATGCCGCTTCTTCGCTGGAGGACCTTTAATGCACTCTTGCTAACACTTGGAGTCTTTCTTGTGCTCTTCATGCTTTTCCTCCTCAGCGGTATTTTTGGGGTAACAGTAACTGAAGCAGGTTGTTTAATTAATTCTGCAGCAGGAGAGGGAGTCTTGATACGTGAAATAGAGAAGCGACCTTGGACAGACCGGCTTTGGATTTCTGAATTAAATGGTGTTTTAGCTGGAGTCTCAGCCTTGGGTGAAGCAGACCTGGATTTTGGGGTCTTTAGAGCTGGAGTCTCAGCCTTGGGTGAAGCGGACCTGGGTTTTGGGGTCTTCGGAGCTGGAGTCTCAGCCTTGGGCGAAGCAGACCTGGATTTTGGGGTCTTCTGAGCTGGAGTCTCAACCTTGGGTGAAGCAGACCTGGATTTTGGGGTCTTCTGAGCTGGAGTCTCAACCTTTGGCGAAGCGGACCTGGACTTCGGGGTCTTCGGAGCTGGAGTCTCAGCCTTGGGTGAAGCGGACCTGGGTTTTGGGGTCTTCGGAGCTGGAGTCTCAGCCTTGGGTGAAGCAGACCTGGATTTTGGGGTCTTCTGAGCTGGAGTCTCAACCTTTGGCGAAGCGGACCTGGACTTCGGGGTCTTCGGAGCTGGAGTCTCAGCCTTGGGTGAAGCGGACCTGGATTTTGGGGTCTTCTGAGCTGGAGTCTCAACCTTTGGCGAAGCGGACCTGGACTTCGGGGTCTTCGGAGCTGGAGTCTCAGCCTTGGGTGAAGCGGACCTGGATTTTGGGGTCTTCTGAGCTGGAGTCTCAACCTTTGGCGAAGCGGACCTGGACTTCGGGGTCTTCGGAGCTGGAGTCTCAGCCTTGGGTGAAGCGGACCTGGATTTCGGGGTCTTCTGAGCTGGAGTCTCAACCTTTGGCGAAGCGGACCTAGACTTCGGGGTCTTCGGAGCTGGAGTCTCAGCCTTAGGAGAGGAAGCCCTGGACTTCGGGGTCTTCTGAGCTGGAGTCTCAGCCTTAGGAGAGGAAGCCCTGGACTTCGGGGTCTTCTGAGCTGGAGTCTCAGCCTTAGGAGAGGAAGCCCTGGACTTCGGGGTCTTCTGAGCTGGAGTCTCAGCCTTAGGAGAGGAAGCCCTGGACTTCGGGGTCTTCTGAGCTGGAGTCTCAGCCTTAGGAGAGGAAGCCCTGGACTTCGGGGTCTTCTGAGCTGGAGTCTCAGCCTTTGGCGAAGCGGACCTAGACTTCGGGGTCTTCGGAGCTGGAGTCTCAGCCTTAGGAGAGGAAGCCCTGGACTTCGGGGTCTTCTGAGCTGGAGTCTCAGCCTTAGGAGAGGAAGCCCTGGACTTCGGGGTCTTCTGAGCTGGAGTCTCAGCCTTAGGAGAGGAAGCCCTGGACTTCGGGGTCTTCTGAGCTGGAGTCTCAGCCTTGGGTGAAGCGGACCTGGATTTTGGGGTCTCAGCCTTGGGTGAAGCGGACCTGGATTTTGGGGTCTCAGCCTTGGGTGAAGCGGACCTGGATTTTGGGGTCTCAGCCTTGGGTGAAGCGGACCTGGATTTTGGGGTCTCAGCCTTGGGTGAAGCGGACCTGGATTTTGGGGTCTCAGCCTTGGGTGAAGCGGACCTGGATTTTGGGGTCTCAGCCTTGGGTGAAGCGGACCTGGATTTTGGGGTCTCAGCCTTGGGTGAAGCGGACCTGGATTTTGGGGTCTCAGCCTTGGGTGAAGCGGACCTGGACTTCGGGGTCTTCTGAGCTGGAGTCTCAGCCTTGGGTGAAGCGGACCTGGATTTTGGGGTCTCAGCCTTGGGTGAAGCGGACCTGGATTTTGGGGTCTCAGCCTTGGGTGAAGCGGACCTGGACTTCGGGGTCTTGGGAGACATTTTTCCAGGAGAAGTTGCTTTGGGTGATGTAGACTTGGACTTTGGAGACTTCTTAGCAGGTGAAGGAGACTTTGATTTTGGCAGCGCCTTTCCAGGCGAAGCATTCTTTTTTAAACCAGACTTAGGGGAAGGATTCCTTTGCCCCTGTGAAAAAGAACAAGATGTAATTATATGGCCTACAGCAACAACGTAAATAAATCAAACCTTTCACTCACCTTTAGCAACCCAATAGCCGAGGCTCTTCTAAGGAGGGACTGTTTTGGTTTATAAAGAGACAAGCTTCTCCTTGGAGCCGCTCCTTTGCGCAGCGGGGAGTCAGGAGGAAGGCGTTTGTCAAATAACTCTGGGCTAAGATGACCCCCAAAGGAAACGCGTTTTCTTTTCATATTTGACATAGGGAGGTCTTTTCCAAGCTCGTCGCTCTTGCGTTTTTTGGCCACTTTCACTGGGAAAGACAGAAAAACTACAGTTAATATGAATGCAAAGTGAACACCAAACTAATAATGATTTTTTTTTTAAACCTTTTTCAGCAGATCCTAAGTTTTTAGGAGACTTCTTCGGGGTTTTTTCCTTTTTGTATGTAATAACAGCTTGCCCTTCTGCCTTTGTGGACAAAGGAGACTTTGATGTTGTAGCTGTAATTTGCTCAATGGCCTCTGCGGCTGTGAACCTCTGAGGAGTTACACTGCGTCTCAGCTTTGAAGCAGGTCCAGACTTTGAATCTTCTTGCACTATGTTTCCAGACCCCTCAAAGGAAGGAGACTGGAAGATCTTCCCCAACTTCTTGACAGATTCAGGCGTTTTAGCAACTTTAGCTGTTGGATCTGCTGGGAGTTTAACTTCTTTCTGGGGAGTACCAACTGGCCCTGGTCTGGGGGTATAAAACTTAGAAGACGGTGTCTGGGCAGCACTGACAGAAGACTTCTGAGGGGTCTTGAGATCCAGAGATTTTTTGGCCATTTGACACAGCTCACCGAATGGTGAGTTTGTTCCATCTTTCTGGGACTCCATTTCCAACGTTTTCTCCAAAGATCTCTGTATGTTGTCATAGTTGGCACCATCTTTAAGATGAGGGCCTTAAATGTAAAGACAAAAAAAACAAAAGAAGCATTGAACACCTTAAAATTAAGTTTATTTTTGCCTCAATTTACCAAATAAAAGTATCAAAGATGATCTGTATTAAAAAAAGAATTATGTTTTTTTAATACCAAATATAATCATTTCAATTTTTCCTCTCTTTGTTTCATGAAACAAGTCCAAAATGTCAGGTATTACTTTAAAAAGCTAGTTTCTATTTCAGTAATCCCTTTTGGAAGTTAACAAAATGTTTATATCTAGCCGTTTTACTTAAAGAGCCTGTTCAGTTTAGAGTAGATGCAGAAACACAAGGTGATGTGTTTATGTCATTCTGAGCCAAGAATACCCAACGAAAATATTGGAATAAAAGAAATTTTGCAGATTCAAATTTTTCAAAATCTACTCTTCGGCACCAGCTTATCTCAAATAAATTTTTTTTTTTAAACTTGCTTAGTCACTTTCTGTAATTATTCTACAACATATAAATCTGCTGATTCCAGGCTTTTAGCTCGCCACATGTACAGCCATACCCTGTACACACTTTTAAAAAAGAAAAAAGGAGACATTGTACAGCCCGTCTCCTGTCCCCCACGGAAACTTTGCTCAAATGTTGAAAATGTTCAGATCCGGTCTTCGCCGGGCCGCCATGTTGCATCCCCCTCATAATCTCGCGATTAACTGGCATCCCGCCAGAGTCGCATTCCTATTGGTCATACGTTGGCGTGACGCAGCACAGAGAGGCGCTGTTTGCAAACAGTTAAGCTTGAAACTTTAAAAAGTTTATGAAAAATCATCGAAGGCCTGGAGGTTCTTTTGGACAGCACTGTCTGTTAGTGATGGGTTCATGAGGCGTCATTGAGTGTTATGAAATAGTTGCAAACTGTTAATACTGTGTCACTAAATACTGACACCTGCTGGACATTTATAATTCCTACAGGCAGCCTCTTTCACAGACTGACCTGATACAAATTTGATGACCTATAATATGATTTAAGCAATTGTTTGCTATAAAATAGCATTTCATATCTACAGTTTGAAGTGAAAATATGTTTGATATTTTTTAGAAATAATTCAGAAAAGTGAACATACAACGGGAAAGATTTAAGTGTACTTGTGAAAAAGGATGTTTGTGGACAACAGGGTTTATACAGTAAGGAGGAACTCTAATTTAATGCTTTTTAATGCTCTTAGAAATTATTTTAATGCCATCAATAAGCACTTATATATATATATATATATATATATAAAAACATGGCCAAATCCTTTGTAATCTTTACCATCGACAGACTGCAGCCATGTCCAAAATTCTCGTTTTCCAGCCACTTATGTTAAAATTATAATTTTCTCATTCTCTAGCTCTTTCTGTGCCTCGAGTTTCTGTTCCACACATATGGCTTTAGGATCAACCAGAAGCAGTTCCACGCAAACATGTGGAACCAGTTAAATTGTTCATAAAGCATTTTAAATGCCATGATAATCACATTTAATGAATTTTAATGCCAATTAAGGCCTTAATTTAAAAAATAATAATTTAATGACCTTTAATGGTTTCTAATGACATGCAGAAACCCTGGACAAGGATTTATTAAAAATATTTTCAGCATAACTGAGAAGATGTTTGTGAATTTGGGGGAAATAAAGAAAGGATAAAGGGGAGAACCACAGAGACAGCAATCTCCAGCTTCTTCAAAAACAATCCAAGAGTGAAATTAAAGTTGAACTAGATACTGTTTTATGCGATTGAAAGAGTTAAATTTAAACTCTGTCAGTTAATTATTCCAAGCCCAGCAGGGAGTTTAGCCCAAATCAGTCACCCCACGCCTGTTGTTCCCTATGAGGAAGGACAGTTGTCATTTAACCCTACGTAGCTCACGCCTCCGCACCATGCAAAGCCTGAAGTTATGGTACACTAAGGTCTACACCCTATGAAATATTCCTAAATAAAAGCACAGCTTCTTCCCATCATGTTCAGAAATAAAACATCTTCAACAAAAAAACAGAAGGGGTCCAGTTGGCTTCATCCTGGATGACTGAAGGCTAGAACCCTACAGAAAATTGTGTCAGTCGAAGTCGTGGCGTTTAGCGCTCATTGAAAGTCTATGGGGATGATCACACCCGATATGAATTACTGCGGGGCGCTGCCTAGCTCTGACTGAACCCAGGTCCATTTTAGTCGGACTACGGAGCAGTTACACGGCAATTCATGAGTCTGACAGGAAGAGAGAAACGGTTATAAAGTAAAACACAACCGCTTTTGGGGGAATACATGGGATTAAAAAAGAAAGAAAAACTCACACTATCTGTTCTGGTTTGCAATGCTGCACAGACTCGTTAAGTGGGGCTTTACTTTATAGAAGGCACCAGTTTTTATCGTAACTTTCATAATCGGTCCAAGAAAATGTGGGAATTTGTTTAAATCCATGTATCGCACAGAGACAGAAGGGAAAAAATCTGATCGTTTCCAAGTACGGAGACGTTTAGTTTACTCTATAAACCCTGGAACTCAACGCTATTTCCGACATTTAGAATTAAAAAGCTTCCGGATGGAAAGCGAAACGTCCTCAAACTTGGAAACAAAGTCGAGTGGATTGGTTTTTTTTTTAAGGTTTTTGGAATGACTATGACTCGGATGACTCAGAATCTGCACCATCAATGTAGAATGACCACTTAATAAGTTACCTGTAGAAATCCTTTTTTGTCCCCCATCAGCTGCGACACTGTCGGATCTTTGCTGATCTTGAAGAACCTAAACAAAAGTTTCATCATTAGAACATAACTTGTTTAAAATGTCTTTACTGCAGGATAATGTTGCCTATAAATGGCTAAATTACCTTAAGAGTTTCAGACTTGGGTCCAGGAGTAGCCCTCTTCCTTGGCGTTGCTGTGTGCGCGTACTCGAACCTGAAACAATGTTAAAATGTCCGAAAATACATAAATACAGCATGAAGATATTAAGTCCTGCATTTCCACAGAGATACGCACTAGAAGAGAATTTGGTTGCCAATCACATATTTCTAATGCATCAGTGAATGTGCATTGATCTAGCACTATGTTGTCTTCCATTAAATCCTTTTGTTTGTAAATAACCACTGCTGCTTTAATCATGGGATAATGAAGTCCTGAAACAAAAAGGTTGCAATATTGATGAAGAGGCTTCATTTACCGCTTACCTGAAAGAACGGTCAACAATTGTTATCATATCGCCATGCTTCAAGCGTTCAGACTGATGCAGAGTCTCTCCGTTGATGCGTGTCGGATTGACTGAGCTCAAATTGGTCAAAATAATCTGTGGAAGACCAACAACAATCTTGTTAACAGGCAGCTGAAGCATCGAACATGTGATAAATACCTGGTCTATATGTTTGCATGGGAAGTTACCTCTTTATTTTCATTTAAGTCGATTCTGCAGTGTTCCTTCGAAACCTCAGGAACCTGGATACGAATGTCACATTCAGGCTTCCTGTAGGATCAGCAGGAAACATGTCAAACATTGAGAGAATGTCTTCATGCTGGAGTGCAAAAAAGAACCATTTAAAATCCCTCTTTTTTAATTAAAGATTTACGTTATCACATAAACCTGATTGTATATTTGTTCAACACAATTATAGGGAGAAAATAAGTTTTTTCCAGAACTTCGACTCAAATCTAAATACAGAAATCTCTTTGATTTAGAGATGATGTCAGCAGTACAGAGATTTAAAAAGGTAGCTTCCTAAAAACCGAAATTAAAAGGAAGAATTGAAGACAAAACAGATGAGAGGCTGAACAGATTTACAGCACATTGGATCAAAGATGAATGGAAGGAGGAAGTGGACAGGTGATGAACAGCTGGATGGTTGATCATATGAGAAATGGTTGGGTGATGAACACAGAGATAAACAGGCTGGCAGGTTTGGGATAAAAGGAAGGATGTGTGAGAACTTTACAGAAAAATATACAGAATAAAGTCTAATAATCATTTACCCAGACTCATCATGGTTTTTACCCTTTTATGAGAACATATGTTGCAGTTTCATTTAGGAAAAAACATAAAACAAAGAATTAAAGATGTATTTTCTTTGTTACCTTCCAAACAAGCAGGATGCAGTCAGAGGAAACTCTGTCCCATCAGCTCCGCTCCTCTTAATAACCACTATTTTTCCATGCAAAGGCATTTTCCCAAAGTTACCTGAGGATTTTAAAGAAACGTTTGTCAGAAAGGCGAAGATGTGATCGGCCTCTTTCAGCATAATTCAGCCAAAGGAAGCTGCTGTAACAGACCCGCGTTAAAAAAAAAAAAAACACTGTGCGAACAATTCCCACGTGCCATGTGGACAAAAGTGAGGTTTTGTGGCCTTAAGCTAGCGACAAGATCCAGATATAGATATGCTAATAATGATAAAAGACAATGTATCTCCATGCCCGCACAGATATCAGTAACAATTTGTAAAATAGTACCGAGTTAAAGGTGTCTAACTTTTCTCAGAAATCACACAGCAGCAGAAATAAAAATCACACAAATTACCGGTACACGTCTTACCTGAAGCTCCGTTTAAAAATCCCTCCGACTTTCTTCTATCCATAAACATGAAACAGCCTAAAAGTACAAAATCTTAACTTTAAAATGGCATCATAATCAGACAAACAGCAGGACTAACCATCCGACCCGACGACTCTTTAACGTAAACTATAGCGCTCAGAGCTCCGCTCTGTGTGCTCCTCCGCAATGGTGCTGCTGTATCCCTCCGCAAATGTACAGAAACGCAGAAACATATCCCCGTTAACTCAATGTTGTTTTTATATCATTCTACGCGTTCTATATTGTTGTAATTTAACAGTGTGCTATTTTTCATGGCGACGATCTAATATTAACACTGGGTTCATTCGAGGAACTATTTTGTTTACAAATTTGGCGGAGCGATCTCACTCCAAGGAAAGAAAAGTAATTTGAAAATATTTGAAATACCGCGCGAAGGATTCCTATTGGCGCAAAGGCAAGAGGGCGGGGCCTAATTACAACCCATTGAACTTGGTTGTATGCATTTGAGTCTTTCTCGTTTTTGTCTATATATATATATATATATATATATATATATATATATATATATATATATATATATATATATATATATATATATATATATAATGCTGTTTTGTTCAGCAGCATTTATTTAAACTCTTGAAATGCTGGGAACAGTTAGGTGCAATACATGGGATCTTAAGTTAGAACTTCAATAACCTTCCTAAATTATAGGCTATTCTGGAATTCTTTTTCTTTAACAATTTCCTACATATGGACCTCCATAGGAATAAACCATAAATATTACATAACCCTTTAATCCGTGTATCATTCGTTCTTTCTATTTTCAATTGCCAATCAAAAAACAAAAAATAAAAAATTGACTGGTTATTTTGTTATTTGTTTTTTATGGTTAAACCAAAAACGAAAAAAGGATTTGTTTTTCATATATCAATTCTAAGCTCAGATCAAGAATACGAAATGGAAAAACGGACAGCAACGCAGAATTTGTTTTTAATATTTAATCAGTACAGTTTACGTGACCCGGAAATAGCTCTTTGCGCAGCAGTTGGGGTAATGAAGTAGCTACCATGGCGACGCTAGAACCACACACTATGTTGATCGAGAAGCTGTTTGTTGTTGCTAGTTAAAAGTACAGTGCACAGAAAAGTTTCAAGAAAAAAGTTATACCTGGAAAATCCTGCAAATTTTCTCCGTTGTCATGTCCTCCTCAAGAGTCACACGCTTGGATCCTCGAAATAAAACGTAACTGTCCATGGCTGATAGGTCCGACTGCCTTATCTGGTGCAGTTTGATCGAACGTGGTGGGAGTAAGCCAATTGTTTTTTTAGCTAACGCTCCACCAAACTTCCGGGTCATGTAAACTGTACCGATTAAATATTAAAATCAAATTCTGCGTTGCTGTCCGTTTTTCCATTTCGTATTCTTGATCTGAGCTTAGAATTGAAATATGAAAAACCAATCCTTTTTTCGTTTTTGGTTTAACGATAAAAAACAAAAAACAAAATAACCAGTCAATTTTTGATTTTTTGTTTTTTGATTGACAATTGAAAATAGAAAGAACGAATGATACACGGATTCCCTTTAAACACACACTGGCACATTTGAAAAACGTCTATCTGAGACGGAAACACCTTCGCCTTCTGGAGAAATTATAGTCGAACCCAGCTCTGCCATCTACTGACCAAAACATGCAGGTACATCAGAACGCCTAATATAGGATCAGAGGAAAAATACTGGAATATGTTTCTCACAAATGATGTAAAATAAAAAAGAATAAATACAGTTTTGAGCATCAAATACATTTTCGTCATTTATTTCTTTGTGAGCTGACAGATTTAACTACATAAATTTAATAGATAAAACATTTGACCAGTCCTGACAATCACTTTTAACACGTTTAAACTGTTCGTGTTGATTTGGTCTGTGCTCATTTATAAATTAGAATATAATCAGTAAATCAATCTGATTGTTTATTCAATAAAAAGTCAAACTCCTATTATTTTAAAAAAGATTGACAAATTTCACATGTTTATTGCTGTTGATTATGTACCATAAAGTGTGTGCACTCAGTTCTTGGCTGGAGCATATTTTACATACATTTCTGCATCAATATGATGTGAAATGGAGGTTACCATGCTCTGACACTGCTGTGGTGCAAACGAACCCCAGGTAGCTGAAGGATGCATTGTTTGCTCTGGTGTCTTTGTTTGCATCTTGATACTTGGTACTTTCTGCAATTTGTAGTCGTGCAGAAAATAAAATGAATATCTTAATTAAGCTTTTTTTAGAGAGACACATATATTCTAGAATTGCGTTGCTTAAGGTGGCTGCACGTTGGAGTAGCTCTGCTAGATTGACTCTGATATTCTTTTTAAAGAGAACTTTAATTCTTCCATTTTTGGGTCAGAGTATCTTTTTTCTGATGTTTTTCATCTCTGTTGATGAATGCTGGGAAACTGGAGCGTTTTTCGCTGATATTTTTTTTTCCTTTTTGGATGCATGTTTTGATGTGTAACCACAGCAACCCAAGGAAGTTGATTTTTTAAACCCGGGAGCATCTCTGTAGCATCTCTAAAGCTGAAATAATACCTGAACTTCTTCCACAAGTACCAGCTGAGTTGAAAAGGGGGGCACCAGGGATACAGAGCAGGAACAATGAGATGAGAGAGGAACAATAAATATAAGCTATCTCTTCCATCAATCATGGGCATTGCAAGATCTTTAGGAAACAAGTTAGAAGAACGCAGAAAGAATATCAGCAATGCAGCATTATGTGTCTTACTGAAACATGGCTGCAGGACCATATCTTTGATGCAAGCGTCTCTCTGCCATGCTCTCTGACCATATAATCAGACCAAGATTTAAAGAAGACTGGGAAATTCAAATAGGCAGTGCTTATGAACAACAGGTGGTGTCATCCAGGACATGTTACTGTGAAGAGTAGTCACAAAGCAGGTTTACTGCAAAATCTAAGTTCTCTAAACCTGAAAAAGGGGAATTTCCCGTTTCACAAAGAGTTTCCTCAACCTCTGTTTCAGTCACCGTAGCAACCATTGTCCCCAGAGCTAACCTGGTCGGTAGCAGGTTTTCTTCAGTAAACTCCAAGTGTCCTCTCTTCCTGCTCTCCATACAGCCAATCACTGTTTTGTGTCCTGATTTAGTACGACTTTTTTTTGTATTTTTGTGCATAAAAAAATTCACTAGGTCCATTAGATACATGAGGTTTTAAAAACCAACATTGCACTTTCCTTTTTGATAAAGCTTATAGTTAGAGTGGCTCAAGTTATCCTGAGCTATCTCTATTGTTATGCTGCTGTAGGCTTAGACTGCTGGAAGACATAGGGACCTCTTTTTCATCATTCTGCTTCGTACCAATAAATAAAAAAAAAAAATTAAAAACAATCCACTGGACTTGGTTTCCAAGTTTGAAGACATTTCGCTTCCCATCCAGGAAGCTTTTTTAATTCAAAATGTCAGTAATAGCGTTGAATTTGAGGTTTTATACACTAGCCCAACAAAGCCCTGTTTTTGTTTTGAAAACAAACAAATTGAAATAGACGAAGCGGTCCACCCATTTGGGGGCTTCTTTTGTTAGACTGAAATACCCCATACCCATCTAACTGTCTGAAAGGTCGGTCGTTAAAGGGGATTGTTGGGCAGGCTGAATAGATGAGGTCCTCCACTCTCCTGTACACGGGGTGGGGCTGCAAATGGGAAGGCATTAACTCAATAGCTGCATTGTAAGTTTTTGAAAGCTAGAACCTGAGACCACCCCCTCTGTTTAAAGTTGTTTTTTCTTTCTTAACATATAGCTTCCTTCACGCCCCTCTCAATCCACCTATTTCTTTATCCAAAATGTGAACATTCTGGTCCTCAAAAGAATGTCCTTTGTCAATAATTTGTAGATATAGCGTAGAGTCTTGTCTAGAGGAGGTTGCTCTTCTGTGTTCAATTCAATTCAATTCAATTCAGTTTATTTATATAGCGCCATATTCACAACACATGTCATCTCAAGGCACTTTACAGTTCAACCAGATCATACAGTCAAATTGATACAAAGTTTTCTATCTAAGGAAAACCAGTTGATTGCATTGACTCATTGACTCAAATACAATCCCCCACACTAAGCATGCTTGTAGCGACAGTGGAGAGGAAAAACTCCCTTTTAACAGGAAGAAACCTCCAGCAGAACCAGGCTCAGTGTGAGCGGCCATCTGCCGAGGCCGACTGGGGTTCAAGGAGACAGAAGCAGAGATACAAAAAGCAGCTGTAAAAGGCGGCACCGTCCAGGAAACACACAGCCAGGCAGACGAGCTCCAAGGCAGCTCCCATGCCAGAGGACGTAGAGAGCACATCCACTCAGTCACGGCCAGAGAAACAGGACCACACTGGAAAACAGGCCGATCTCCAACATCTATAAACAAGGGTGTTGATGGAAGCAGCACAGCTGATGTTTCTTTCCAGGATGACGTCACAGCCAAACAGGAACAGACGAGGCAAAGCTACTCTGAGGAAAAGCAGAGAGAGCAGAAGGTTAGAGATTGAACTAACAGATTCTGCAGAATAGGAGAACAGAGAGAGAATGAAGCAGAATGATGAAATGGGGGTCCCTATGTCCTCCAAAAGTCTAAGCCTATAGCAGCATAACTATAGAGATAGCTCAGGATAACCTGAGCCACCCTAACTATAAGCTTTATCAAAAAGGAAAGTTTTAAGCCTAGCCTTAAAAGTAGACAGGGTGTCTGCCTCACGGACTAAAACTGGTAGTTGGTTCCACAGGAGAGGAGCCTGATAACTAAAAGATCTGCCTCCCATTCTACTTTTAGAAATTCTAGGAACCACTAGTAAACCTGCAGATTGAGAGCGAAGTGCTCTGTTAGGAACATAAGGAACAATCAGATCTCTGATATAAGATGGTGCTTGGCCATTTAAGGCTTTATATGTGAGAAGGAGGATTTTAAATTCTATTCTTGATTTAACAGGAAGCCAATGAAGAGAAGCCAGGATAGGCGAGATATGATCTCTCTTTTTAATTTTCATCAGAACTCTGGCTGCAGCATTTTGGATCAGCTGAAGGCTTTTAACTACAGTTTGTGGACTTCCTGATAGTAAAGAATTACAATAGTCCAGCCTTGAAGTAACAAATGCATGGACTAGTTTCTCAGCATCACCCCTGGACAGGATATTTCTAATTTTTGCAATGTTCCTCAGATGAAAGAAGGAAATTCTAGAAACCTCTTTGATATGGGATTTAAATGACAGGTCCTGATCAAAAATAACACCAAGATTTTTTACTTTATTATCTGAAATCAGTTTAATCCCATCCAAATGAAGTGACTGGCTAATCAGTTTCTTTTTCAGAGACTCTGGTCCAAAGACTATAACTTCTGTTTTATCTGCATTCAGAAGCAGAAAGTTAAGAGTCATCCAGGTTTTTATGTCTTCAAGACATGCCTGTAATCTATGTAATGGGTTAGCTTCATCTGGATTTATAGACAGATATAGCTGGGTATCATCAGCATAAAAGTGAAAATTAATCCCATGCTGTCTAATGTGTTGGGCCATGCATTTGTGGAGAGGTTGTTTGGTTTTTCCAAACAGTCTAACAAAAGAAGCCCCCATTCCAAATGGATGGACCCCTTCGTCTGTTCCAGTTTGCATGTTTTCAAATCAAAAACAAGGCTCTCTCTCTATTCTCCCACTCTGCAAAATGTGTTAGTTCAATCTCTAACGTTCTGCTCTCTCTGCTTTTTGTCAGAGTTGCTTCACCTCGTCTGCTCCCGTTTGGCTGTGACTCCATCTTGGAGAGAAACATCAGCCGTGCTGCTGCCATCAACACCTTTATTTATAGATGTATGAGTGCAGCCTGTTTTTCAGTGTAGTCCTGTTTCTCTGACTGTGACTAACTGATGTGCTCTCTTCATCCTCTGACATAGGAGTTGGTTTGGAGCTCGTCTGGCTGGGTGTGTGTTTCCTGGACAGGGCCACCTGTGGAGCTGGTTGACAGTTGCCTTTGTCTCCTTGAACCCCAGTCGGCCTCAGCAGATGGCGGCTCACACTGAGCGTAGTTCTGCTGGAGGTTTCTTCCTTTTAATCAATTTGACTGTATGATCTTGTTGAATTGTAAAGTGCAATGGTGAAATGGAGCCATAGAAATAAACTGAATTAATTTTAATTAAACAACAAGAGAGTCTCTTCAGTAAGAGGCTCATCAAGATCCGGTGCAAGAAGATGATACAGAAGATCCTCCCTGCCTACAGCTATCAACACCTGTTTAAAATAATTACCCATGAGTTACTGCATATAGTTCTGCTGCTATAGGCTTAGACTGCTGTAGGACATAGGGACCCCTTTTTCATCATTCTATCTCTATTCTCCCACTCTGCAGAATCTGTTAGTTCAATCTCTAACGTTCTGCTCTCTCTGCTTTTTCTCATAGTAGCCTCATCTGGTCTGTTCCTGTTTGGCTGTGACTCCATCCTGGGGAGAAATATCAGCTGTGCTGCTGCCATCAACACCTTTGTTTCTAGATGTTGGAGATCGGCCTGTTTTCCAGTGTAGTCCTGTGTCTCTGACCATGACTGGCTGGATGTGCTCTCTTCATCCTCTGACATGGGAGCTGGCTCGGAGCTCGTCTGCCTGGCTGTGTGTTTCCTGGACGGGGCCGCCTTTTACAGCTGCTTTTTGTATCTCTGCTTCTGCCTCCTTGAACCCCAGTCGGCCTCAGCAGATGACCGCTCACACTGAGCCTGGTTCTGCTGGAGGTTTCTTCCTGTTAAAAGGGAGTTTTTCCTCTCCACTGTCACTACAAGCATGCTTAGCGGGAGGGATTGTATTTGAGTCAATGTGTCGATGCAATCAACTGGTTTTCCTTAGATAGAAAAGTTTGAATCAATCTGACTGGATGATCTGGTGAACTGTAAAGTGCCTTGAGATGACATGTTGTGAATTGGCGCTATAGAAATAAACTGAATTGAATTGTTTAGTTCAGATGGTTCAACATAAAGAATGTTTGATATGTTGCTCATATCCATGGGTACGTCTGTGCGTCGATTTCTTGAATCTCTTCAAAGATTAGCTGGTGTTTGGGCATATCTCTACTAAACTTCTTCCCTCCACTTTACTTTCCTGAACAACTGATTGATCTGAACAATTCTGAACATTTTCTGAGAAACTAAATTGCTGTATTTTATTATCTATGAACCATATTAAAATAAAAACAAAGACATTCAATTATTAAATGTTGCTTTTATTTTTTGTCTTTTTTTTTTTCCAAAGTTCCTTGATAATCTTCACAAAACTGCATCGTATTCCATACTTCTCAAGCTGACGGTGTCTCTCGCTGTTCCAGATTATCGGTGGAGGAGGGGGTGTGTGGGGGGAGGGGTTGTGCGCTGTTCTGGACAGAGTCCTGAAAGGATGAAAGCAGCTATATTTCTTTTTATTTACCAGACAAATAAAAAAAAAAATGTTTTGGAGAGATCCGCATTGGCAACGCTGCAAGGTTCAGGGTCAGAGTCTCTGCAGGAGTCCTGATGCGCCAGGCTTTGACATAAAGAGCGGGACTGGAGGAAACCTTCCGGGGGCTCAGTAGCAGAACTGGGAACACATGTGCATTTGTGATTGGAGGCTTTAAGGGTTGCATGACAGAACATATACAGACAACAGGCAGAGCACACGGAAATGATTCCTTCCTGAGACAATTGGTGCGTTACAGTAATGATGGTCCAGATGACAGGTGTTAATAAAGGTGAAGGCGTTTCGGTGTAAAGTGAGTCACAGGGCTTCTGGCTCCTCTGGATCCGTCACACGTTGCTGCTTACTGTTGAACCTTCACTGACAGGCACCAAAAAAGAAGACGGCTACAATCAAGTCCTGTCCCAGCCGACTCAAACCGATTCATTCAGAGAGTACCGAGAACAACAAGTGTTTAATACAGAGCATATGCACCATCCCTCACACTAAACCTCTCTTTAAAGCTGAGCTGTTGTGAGCTAAATGAGCCGTCCAGGCTGCACACGGCCTCTTATCACCATTTTCTTTTATTTATCTTCCTACCAAAAGGTGAAAAAACAAAAGCTGTGCTTCAACAGGAGTATTTATTATCAGGACTACAGGCATGGGCCGGGTACTGCTATCAGTGTTTGCCAAGGTTTGAAAAAGAATGAGTGGAAGCAAACGCAGTGTTTTCTGAATGAGTCAGAACCTTAAAACGAACAGACATGTCCAGACGAGTTATTGGAGGCAGGTTTTAAAAAGGATCCCCAGAGGAACCAGTTTGTTTATCAGAAAATTAAAGTGTATATTTGGGGTGTGTCGCCCTTTATGCTTCAGAACAACTTCAACTTTCCCCATCATAGCTTTTAATTAGATGCCAGAGAGGGCTAGCCTGGTTGGAGTTCTTTCCCCCGGCCTGCTGGGTCGGTGCACTGCCAGTCAGCTGGCTGAAAGAATGTTGTTACACTTTTACCCCTCAAAACAAAACAAAAAACCCACCAATAATTCAGCTTAAAACTATTGATTTTAACAGCTTGTTTCTTCCGTCTGAAAGTAATGTTAACAATTTAGAAGGATTCCAGCTGGAGAAAAAACTGGAATCTGATCCAGGACTTGTGGGGGGAGCTACAGATTAGGGTGATGGGAAGGAGGCCTTCCAACCTCAAAGATAAACCATCAAATAAATAACACGCAAAAAATTACTCAGCTATGATAAGAAGGGCTTATTTTTTTGATTGCTGGAATAAATTACTTTCCACATGCTTTATTTTAATTTATATCAACAGAAATGTTTATCTACTGGTTTTATACGAATACCTTTTAAATTATGGATCTTTTACTTTATAAAAATGGACTGAATGAAAATAGTTTGAAATATAAATCAGGTGTGTGAATAACTTGGGTTTTACCGTCGTCTTGGAAACCAAAATAAACTTTTACATCGATTAGGGATGGACTGACCGATATATTTAGCAGATATTAGCATTGTTTTTTACTTATACCGGAATCTGCTGATGTTTGCATTCGTCTGGCGATTCATTTCCTGGATTAAGCAGCCGTTGTTCTGTTTTTATTCTTCTGTTAATTTCAAATTTTAAGTCATTTTTATCATTTTGAGGAAGAAGAATCAACATTAGGTTAAAGAATCAGACCAAAATAAGAATCAGCAGCCCATATCAGTGATTATTTAGGCTGATGTCACAATAATTGGTATCAGCATTGGCCTTAAAAAAATATCTATACCGGTGGATTTCTGATATCGATGGTGAAGGTCTCATTCTTGTATTATTATTATGAATTTAAGAAAAACAAATGTTTTAAAATCATAAATACTACAGATATGTAATAAAGAATGTCGTTTGTTCTTGTTAGAAACTCGTTTCCATTCTGTGGGATTTAAAATCAAGCAAATATGACAATTTTCTTCTTCATTTGTGTTTTTATTACAATTTTCCTTATTCTGAAATCAAATAGTCAGAAAGTGAGGCATTTATTTACTCTTACTGAGCGAAATGCAAACCGGCCCATGCCTAGTTATCATAGAGTAAAGACACAGCTTTGAATTTAAAGGGGCGGGAGTCGGACGTGTGTGCGAAGGTCACATTCTGAACAGCCAGTGATCGGTGAAGGGCTCGTCCAACACTTTTAGCAGGACATAAAACATGAAAGAACTTCCTTCAGTAAAAATGTGCTCAAAAATGTATTTTTTCTTGAACCACATAAACTAGAACAAAACACAGGATTTCAATAAAAAAACAAAAAAATAAGGCGAGGCCTAAAACTCTTCATAGTTTTAAAGAAATGAATACAGCTTATTTACACAAACTCAAAGCCACTTAAAATACACCTCAATAATGACTCTTCATTAATTTGATTTCTTGAGAGGACCTGTGACGATATCATACAGCCAAGTTCATACAATCAGTTTTCTTTTCATTCTCTTGGAGGAAAAAGCGGAACAAAAACAAAAAAAAAACAGAACAGAAGAAGCGAGGATTAAAGGCAAAAGAAATCCATCCTGGAATATTAGGTTATATTCAACGTTTCCTGTGAACATTTGTGTACGACTCGAGAGAAATGTCAACATCATTTTTTTTTTCTTTTTTGTTATTCATTATAATATACAAAGGTGAAACTGAAAGTCTCTCATTAATCTTTGATAGGTATGAAAGAGATTCGAACAGTGACGGAGTCCCAATCTCAGCGCGGTAAACTTGTCCTGGTGTCAGCCTGGCCGTTTTTCTCCCGGACACGCCAACCACCTTAGTTCTGTAACTCTTTTATATATATTTATATATCTTTTGTACAAAATCTGGTTGTTTTTCTTTGAAAATGAAAACAAAACAAAAACAAATGCGGAAAGAACCCAAGTCTTTAGAGGAGGAGGGTTTTCCGATGAGCTCCGCTGTCGCAGCTTGTCTCAGAGAAACGAGGACAAAGTGTCTGCTGTGTGTGAGAGTCAGTCATGGTCCGTGTCTCCGTCCCGCCGCGCCGCCCTCGCTCGCTCCAAACAGCCGCTGCGTCCAGACCCGTTTCCGTCCTTTTTAAGGGAAGGTGGAGAGAGGAGAGGGGATAGGAGGGAGGTGGAGGAGTCATCAGCGGGGTTTATGGCGCGGCTCCTGGCGGCCCCCTTCCAGCCTCGCCCCACCCCCCTCCCGCATGGAGAGCGTTCCTTAGTGACGGAGGCCTTCGGAGGAAAGGAGGCGGCTCTGCCAGTCTCCTGTGATCATCAGTTTGGATCAAAGCCCGCCTCCTTCGCCCCCACATTCTGTTCAGAACCACGTGGGAGGAGACCATATGACGAGGAAAAAAAACACTTAAAAAGGAGAGAGCGGTTACTACGGCGACTGGGTGGCGGGACTGCTTTGGGCCGAGCTGGGGGACAAACTGGGACTGCAGCTGCCTGGGGGGGCTCCGCTGGGCCTGCTGCCTGCAGCTCCGCTCTCCAGTCCCTCCGAATTCTCCAGCATCTCCTGGATGAGAGGCGGCATGGATCCAGGGATCTCCATCTTCAGTGTGATGACGCGCTCGGCTCCTGCAGACGGACAAACACAACGTTTTACTCATTTTATTTACTCCTTCTCTTGTATGACAAAGATGGATCCAATCCTGATCTGGAATCAGCTCAGAGGTTCGGATCAAGGCTCACTTTTCCTGACCTGAATTAAAATTTTAAATTCCAGACACCGTCTACCATCAGTGACTTTTAAACCCATATGAGCCACTTTTATTCAGGCTAACTTTTATAATCCCTGCCTCCTTTTTCTGCGCAGGTCTGGTTCTGCTGGAGGTTTCTTCCTGTTTAAAGGGAGTTTTTCCTCTCCACTGTCGCTACAAGCATGCTTAGTGTGAGGGATTGCTGAAGAGTCAATGAGTCGATGCAATCAACTGGTTTTCCTTAGATAGAAAAGTTTGAATCAATCTGACTGGATGATCTGGTTGAACTGTAAAGTGTCTTGAGATAATTGTTGTGAACTGGCGCTATAGAAATAAACTGAAAATAAAATAAACCGCAAAAACTTTCTAAAAATAAGTAGTATTCAACCTATCTAACCTTAATTTGAGTAGGTATATAAGACGATCTGCCAACAGAAAGAGTATTTCTACACTTAAAATAATATAATTAGATATTGTTGACTTGAAATAAGAAAATGCAGTTGTGTTTTTTTATTTCAAATGTAAATTGGCAAAGAGTCTCACCTCCCTTCTTACTTTAAGAAAAAATACACTTATTTTAAGAAAAATTGACTTAGATTAACATTTTTTTGCAGTGTGTGCAACATTGTATTTAAGACCAGCTAGATTTATTTGCTGATCATTTCCAATAAGCTATCAGTCCTTTTATCTAATGTGACGCGTTTCACAAGCTGGAGAGGAGCTCAAAAAGCAGCCATTGAGTTATATGAAAAACAGCAAATATTAACACTAAGAGGCAATTATATGTTTGTAGGGCTGAGACTTAAACATGTTAAACGAGAAAGCTTTAATGCTTAAAAAAAAATGACACCATTAAGGACAGATTTTTTTTTTTTATAGCAGAGGCCTTCAGGGAGGCCGTTTCTTGTTTAAATCTGACGCTCAAACAGCAACACAACCTTCTGTTCAGACTTCTAAGGAATCATTTTTCAAAGAAGTTGCATCAAATTTAAGGGCTTCTAAGAAAAATCTAAAGGAGTATAAATTCCAAACCATCTGATGGTTAAATAACCTCAATAACGGATTAAAAAAACCATAAATATTTCTGTCTCTGTGCTCATAGGTTTATTCAATCATTCCGGACTCTAAATTTAAAATGTTCTTTATTTTGTTGATATATAGTTTTAGATTGATCATGATTCCTTTAATTTTACATTCTATTATTATTTTTATTATTTTTTGTTCACAGGATGAAAGTTGAAGATTAAAATTTAACCCAATTTCTGTGCATAGAAATGTTATTGTCTTTTAAAAAAATAGTTTTTTGAACTTCTTTTGTATCATTTTAGGTGTAAACTTTGTCTAAAAGTTGTACTTAAGTTTAATAGAAAACCTGTACTTTTTTACTTTTACTTAAAAGATGTTTAGTCCTCACATGACTTACTAACTCAAAGAGTCAATTTTTTTGGAAAAATACTGGAATTTCTGTACCTTTATGTGAAGTTAAATAAGCGTTTCACCAAATAGCTGTTCCTATATAATTGAAAACAAAGAAATAAGCGATGAAGAATGAACCTTTAGCGCTGATGCTTCTCAGGTCAGTAATCTTCATCAGCATCTTGGGGAACATGTGAGGTTTGTGGGGCCTCCGTTTCCGTACATAAATCTTCAGGGCCTCCAGAAGGGGCTCCTGCAGGATGTCCACTTTGTCAGCTTCTTCTAAATCTTGCCGATCTAAAAAAAACAAAAACAAAGGGATGATTCAATAATCTGCTTCTGCCTTCTTTAGAGAAATGCTAGAAAATATTTCATGTTTGATTTTGATGCGTCAATCAATCAATATTGAATTTTTATACAGAATTTGCTCATAAACATTTGCAGCAATCTTTACATTACTGAATAAAAATGAGTATTTCCACCTGCAATCTTTACATGCTCCATTAGAGGGCAGTATAGCGGAAGATACAGCAGGCTTTTGAGGAAAAACTGCAGGCCTAAAACATGCCTATCATAAGTATTTGCTCACTTAGGTTTGAGAGGGGTGTCATACCTCCACACAGCAAGCAGATGGCGCTAAGAAGCCCCGTTTCTGCATCATCCATCTCCAGAGGCAGGAGCTGGTTGGCGAAGGCAAAAACCAGGTCTGTGAGGGGACCAAAGCCGGCGTTATGCATCTGGGTTCGGTTTAGCGTGAGTCCATCTGAGAAGGTCATGGTATCTTGCTCCGGCGTGTAACGAGTACAGATCCGCAGTATCTGGAAAGAAGGAGGATATAAAAATATAACCTGATATCAAACGACTGAATTTGGATGAAGGAGCGAGCGGCTCTTCGTACCAGAATATCCAGACAGGCAGCTTTGAGCAGGGTGATCTGGTCCGCGATGGTGAGCGTGGTGAAACCCGGCAGCTGCTTGGCAAACTCCACCGTCTTTATGATGCACTTGGTGGACAGTTCGCTGAACTTGTCCCACAGGTCGATGTCCAAGGAGACGCGCCTTTCCGAGCTGTTAGTCTGTGAAGACATGGACGGCTCAGACGACAGCGGCCGACAACAGAAAACGACACGGCGTGTATTTTTGAAGCCACTGACCGTAGTGTATTTGCCCAGCTGGCAGAGAGAGGGGAAAGTGTCCTGATGCGCCTTGCGAACCCTGTCGATCATCTGCTCCGTGTCTGGACTCAGCACGTAGCTCTCTGTGCACTCCTGCTTCTTCTCATCCTTCTTCTTCTTGTTCCGGTCGTTCCTCACAGCTACAGAGAGCGGAGAAAACACAAGGAGTTAAACCGCCGGACAAAACATTTACAGTGACTCGCAAACCAAGACTGATTCTAAGAACCTTTTCTCATTTTAACAGCTTAACTACAAATCAGCATCTGTTTTATTGCTGAAAAACTCACTCCCACAACTTTTTACATGGAAAATCTGAGCTGCAAGAATTTTGTTTTCAGCCCAAGTTATGACCGACACGATTAATCGATTATGGACAGAATTGTCACCTAATTTAGTAATCGAATCATGGTTAAAAATGAAACCCACTCGGAGCAATACTTAAGCAAAAACCAAGACAAATATCTAAAAATGTTGAGTTTAAAAAGAATAACTTATGTTTCATAAGTTCTATCCAGAAGTCCTTAAGCAAAGTAGTTTTAGTTTAAATTTTGAATAAAATCTTCTTTAAATAACCTTTTTCTATGTGACTATTAATGGATTTATTGAAATAATAATCGATTTGCTAAATAATTGTTAGCTACACAAGCCCTGATGACCTAAACGTTATGGTAACACCTTCCACTGCAATTCAAACCTTAAAGTCCACATTTCATGACTTATTTAGAATTATGACCAGCTCAAATCTATTAAAAAGCACTCCCACAGCATAATACTGACACCTCTGTGTCTCACAGGAACATATGCATTGTTAGGTTTCCAGCACAGAGTTTGTTTAATTCAGCTTGACTTTACTTGGAGGTTTTAGAGGAAATGTCAAACTAATCTCACAGTTTTTACATTTAGAAAGGTTTTTAAAGACGTTTCGTTTATCTCTGATAAAGAAGTTTTTTTCATCTGCACAATATACTGATTCTGTTCGCTTTAATGCAATCTCCATCAACTTAAAGGCAGGAATGGAGAAATCCAACCCCTTTTTTGTGCAGCGGCGGCAGAAAGGCCTCCTTTTGTTTTCAGAGGCTGAAAGACAAATGTTGTGAGACAGCTGCATCCAGGAATGGCTGTGGTAATGGTGTGAGGAGAGGGAATAAGATTTGACATAATCCACTGTTGTTTCCCTCTGGGCGATCTGGCTGAGAGCATGATCACCCCAAATGACAGAAAACACAGGGCGGGTGTTTAGCATTGGAATCCCATTACAAAGCCGATCCATATCTCCCAGCCTATCCACACCGGCTCTGATTACGTCCTGTAAAAACGTGCGTGTGTGTAGATTGGATGAGATGGGGTGCCGGTTGATGAATAGTAGTGGGGGATGAAGCTATCCATAAGGCTGACGAATTGCCACAACTTTCATTAGGGGTACCAGCTAATGTAATAACATAATATGACAAATATCCAGCCTCTAATGGTTTTAAAAGGGCTCGGCTGTAACGTCCACAACGGGGGAATAAAAAGGCCTCCAGCTTTTTCTCTCCCCTTCCACCCCCCCATCACCCTCTCAGATTGTTTCATCCTCCACAGATCAACGTTAGAGACGTCCAAATGAAAGAGAAAAATTAAAAAACAACTCAACTCCTTGTGAATTATTGGACAGTATAGTTTTAATAAAACCTCTTCTCAGACTGAAAAATGTGTAATTAGGTTGTTATTGATGTTCTTCTCTGCTGGATAGAAAGCAGCTGAGACACTCATTCAGTCACTGCGTAGCTTTTGACCCAAGTATTACCTTAGTTTGAGATAAATGAAATGATTTTCCGATCAATATAAAAGCTGCCTTTCATAAAAAACTCAGCTGTGTAACCAAAGAGCTTCAGAGCCGCTGTAGGTACCAGATCATCTCGGTACAACTCCACTCTGACTGTATTGCACCCGATTTCTTAAGGATCAAATCTCTTTTTGGGTCTCAACATATTATTACCTATACGTGCCCAATTTTTTACATTTCTTTGGCGATCTAAAGTAGCCGAAAGTAGAAAACAATCATTTTCAGTCGTGAAGGAAAGTACTGCATTCTAAGTTCTGCTGGAGGTTTCTTCCTGTTCAAAGGGAGTTTTTCCTCTCCACTGTCGCTACAAGCATGCTTAGTGGTGAACTGTAAAGTGCCTTGAGATGACATGTGTTGTGAATCGGTGCTATAGAAATAAACTGAATTGAATTAAATAGCATAGCTCAGTCTTAATTCAATTTAATTCAGTTTATTTCTATAGCCTAAATTCACAACTTTTTCCTGACCTGAATGAAAAATTTAAATTCCAGACTTTTAAACCCATATGAGCCACTTTTATTCAGGTTAACTTTTATAATCCCTGCCCCCTTTTTCTGCGCAGCAAAACAGTGCAGGAACAGGTCTGGTTCTGCTGGAGGTTTCTTCCTTTTAAAAGGGAGTTTTTCCTCTCCACTGTCGCTACAAGCATGCTTAGTGTGAGGGATTGCTGAAGAGTCAATGAGTCGATGCAATCGACTGGTTTTCCTTAGATAGAAAACTTTAAATCCTGTCTGATCTGGTGAACCGTAAAGTGCCTTGAGATGACATGTGGTGTGAATTGGAGCTATAGAAATAAACTGAATAGAATTAAATAGCATAGCTCAGTCTTAATTCACTTCAATTCAGTTTATTTCTATAGCATAAATTTAAAACACGTCAGCTAACCGTCTGAAAACTAAACAGTCTTCTATTGAGGACTGGAAAGGAAGTGGTGGCCTTGTGGTTAGGGCACAGAGCTTAGAATCCTAAGGTTGTAAGTTTGAAACCCACTCTCACTCTTACAGTAATTTCAGAACGTTGGCCAATGCTGGCAGGTTCTCCTCTGATCCATGTTCTGCTAAAAGCGTAATCTTTTTTCACATCTCTAAGTCCACTTCATATTGCCAGACTATAACAGAATCATTGAATTTATTGCAACACAGACGTCTCTATCTGCTCTTTCATCTCCATCTTCCCCTTAAAAACACACAATCACAATTTCCTGGTCTCAATCCGAACCTGGATCCCAGTAGGTATGCATGCTGAGGCCATCTGACAGAGGGGGGCCCCTGGACTGGGGCCAAGGAGGGGAAAGCACAGATCTGAGCCGCGGCTCATTCATCAGCCCAACGACAGGCCTCCCTGCCTGGGAGAACATTAAAGCAAGCAGGAAGGCGGGGGCTGGAAGCCTGATCCTGCATTATGCTACCGCTAAGCGCAACACAAGATGAAGACCCTGCTGTGATCATGTTAATGTGTTACTACCCAGGGCTTATTGACACTTAGGAGGAAGCTGCTCTTTCTTCACAGGAAAAAAACACAATCATGCCTTTTTTTCTTCCCTACTGATGATATAATTATGTTTTGTAAAAGTTCAGCCTGTCTGACAGAACTTGGGTTGGAGGAGGTTTACTGCTCTGATCTGGGGCAGCCCTGCTGAAGGGAATCAGTGTAGTGTTTGCCACAAGAGGGGAGGGGGGGGCTGTTGGGCCAGAGCAGAGCCCATGTCCAATTAATTCACAAATAAAAGTGGGGCATCCCCAGCGCCCAGACATTACCCGCACTGACAAATTGGCAGCACAATCATATGCCGCACAACACAGTTTAATGAAGTCATTAAAGAACTATTAGGCGCGACTGGCGATCTGTCATGGCGAATTGCCACATGCAATAACTTGGGGGAGGTGGGGGGCCGGTTCTTGAGGTTTGTGCAAATGAATGAAATACGGTGTTGATTTCCTAATGTGTGTGTTTGTCAGCTTCGATGAATGCATCTTTTCAAAACGCATTAGGACAAGGCGAAGGCTAATGGAGCGACGTTCGTCCCAATCGTTTCTGTTTATTTCATTTCTGTGATTTACGGGAGGCCGAGTGACACCCGTCCATCATTTCACGCCGACGCCGCATCTCAGCAGAACGTTTGCGTCTCTGTGCGACACAAACAGACGAAGGTGTGTGTCTGTGTGTGTGTGTGTGGGGGGGGGGGGGGGTCGTTGTAATTCGCGTGAGGAAAATTAAAGCGCTGGCAGCTCGTCCATCACCCAGATTAAATTCAATGGAAAGATAAAAATGTCAATGTTTCTCCCCTCCTGCTCCTGCAGCTCTTGGCCCTGGGCCACCGTCAAGAGAGATGACCCCCCCCCCCCCACCTCCACCTCCACCCACAGGCTCTCATATTCCTCCTACCCCCCCACTGCGCTCTGTTTTCATTCTGTCTTCACTTCTCTCTACTATCTCTCCTCCTCAGCTGATGTTATCCCCACTTTCAGCTCTTCTCTATCATTCTGCGCTTCATCTTATTTTACCTTTATTACTTTGTTGGGTGAAGCCTTCCTGGAGGAAAATGTGGGCGCCTGGGTGATATTGGGAGTTTGGTGGTGTGTGTGTGTGGGGGGTGTGGGGGGACTAGAACAAACACGGCTAAGGAAATGTGCGACCAGAAGACATTTATCAGAGGAAAAGCCAGAAATGTGCCGTTGGACTTCCTGCTTTTCTTTCTCCTCTGACTCTCTCAGAGCAAATCACTTCTATTCTCCCAGAGCATCAGGAAAGTAAAGAGAAGGCGGAGAATTAAGGGTGCAAAAGATGGTTGATCTTTAAAAAGCCTGAAGCCCAGAACACCGAATGCGATTTTGCGTCCGATCCGACAGAATATCGTGTCGGAAGAGATCGTGGCGTTACGCAGTCACTGAAATTTGATGGGGAGGAAAACTTACGATTTGCTGCAGGGTGCAGCATTGCCACGTCTATTCGACTACGCAGCAATTCATCAGCAATTTCATGGGTCTGACAGGAAGAGAGACTCATTTACAAAGTAAAACACATCGGCTTTGGGGGAAAATACTGAATAAAATCTCACGGGGAAAGAGTCAGTTTTGGAGTCTCATATCATGTATATAGTAAGCAGAACAGACTGTTGCAGAAACAATTAAGGAAACATTAAAAACTAGAATATTTTACCCATGATAAGAGGACAGAAATGGATAAAATAGCGATCCTCTTTGAGCCTCACAAAAAAAAAACAACGGGGGAAGACGGAGCAGGAAAGCAGAACTCATCTCTCTGCCCTCTTTATGAAACAAAACAAAAACTTTCATAAAGTTCACAGATCCATCC